TGAGAGGCCAGGTAGAAGAGATCAGAAATAATCTGGCAAGTAGTTTGGTGAAATAAATATATAACTGCCTTCTCTACCGTAACATGTTGGAAATTGCACAAGATTTGAATTTGATTTCTCTTGTATGTGCCTGTGGCCCAGCTGTTTGTTAATTCTATTCCATTTCCACCATCTCCCAACAAATATCCCACCCAAACCGTTCGTTTTGCTTCGACTCGCTCTAATTTCAGCGGTTTATAGATCAGAGAATTCATTATTTTTACCTGACGAAGGCAACGCCTCTGGGGAGTCCAGTCAGCTTGTCCTTAAGAATATTCTTCTGTACAATCTGACCAAATTTACTGAAGATGTCCTCGATCTGGCCCTCAGTTATGTTTCTGGGGATAAAATAAATACAATGGTTAATTTTGGTATTTTCGAACACTTGTGGCTGGCACTTGGCGATGTTTTAACGTCATTACCGAGGAAGATTTGTCACGTAAAGATTTGTTTCCTTAATCTCTTCGCCTGATGGCCTTGCGAATGACACTTTTAATCGTTTGTTCTGAACCTGCAGACCATTAAGAGTGTTTATTGCTGTCAGTGCGTCCTCAGCTTTTGCATAGTTGACGAAACCAAATCCGTAACTGTAGCCAGTCTGGGAATTGAAAGATTCAGGATGATTAATTGTCTGAGGTGTGTCAATTATTTTAAACGATAAATCAATCGATTGTTCACTTTTAATAATCTTGGAAAATTCAAGGCGAAGAATTTTTGGGAGAAAATCCACATCTAATGGCCTTTTCTCCCAAAAAACCATCGAAAATGTACGTCAAAGCTGCAATATTTCTGGTAAAATTCTCATAGAGTTAAGAATCAATAGAATTCCTTCGAGAAAGAGTTAAATTTATCAATATAAAAAATAATTTTGTGTAAATTACAATTTTTAAAAACAATGAATGAATAAAAAACTAAATAAAAAAATGAAACTAACAAAAATAATAAAAAAAAATAAAGCAATAATAATTATCATAAATAAAATTGTGTAAATTGCAGTAAAAAAATGGATAAAATAAAATGAATGAAATACTTATTAAATAAATCAAGTTAATATTAAAAAAATCAAGATGCAGCAGAAGGGGGTAATGGTAATTGTCACAGGTAAAATTGAGCAACTGCAATAATTGTCTCACCTTGTAGTCCTTCATAACTCGACACGATTCAACTGGCCCAATAGTGACAAACATGCTGTACAACTCTTTTTCCGTCATACTCTGTGGCAAATAATTGATAATAAGATTGGTACGTGCGTCGTCTCTCCCACTGGGCTGCTGATCATTGTGTTGCTCCGACATTTTCAGTCCTCTCAATCAGTGGCCTCAACACCTTATTCCTCAACAGTAAAATCCACTCGAATACAACCGTTGTCACTATTTCCAGTAGTCATTCACCTCGTCCTTGGCGAAATCCTCGTTGCTCCAGCTACTCCCAATTTATTCACAATATTCCGTATTTCGTATTTTTAATTTTTAACAATTCGTGTTCCGATGATCGCGTCGTTTAACCAGCGTGTTCAGAAGGGTCGGCAAATAAAAAAAATATAAACAAATACATTACTACGGGGACAATTTTTTTTCTCCTTGCACGCTGTGCCATGTTTATCTCAAATTAATTATTCTCACAATTTTATTCCCAATGAGCAATCGATTTAAACTGTCAAGCAGTTGAAATAAATATAAAAATAAAATTGCATTATCTCGACTCTTATTAACTTTTTTTTTGACGCCAGAAACCTGCGTGTCAGAAACAAACAAACAAAGGCAAGTAAGGATACAAAATTAAAAATATTCCTGTCGCAAGTACGTTAACTAAAACAACGACATTAACATTTCACATTGAATACTCTGAGAGTGTGGTAAATTCATGGAGCATTACTGTCCGAGTGATGTGATATTTGAGGTTATGGGGGGAATCAACCGGACGCCGACTGAATAATCGAGTGCAAAGAGTGAAGAGCGAGTCGATCGTGGCAAACAAATGAGCAAAAAAAAATTATTACCAGTGCAAGCACAGTTCGTCGTTCACCAGTTGATCGGGCAAAATTCACGACCGATGACAAAGCCCTCAGTGTTTATACGACCAACGGATCGATTCGCAATACCGGGAATTAAGGCGATACTCGGAGGCTAGTAAAACAATGACAATAATCCCGTGTAACGATTGAGGCTCGTTCTGCAGAATCTCGGGAATTCGCGGCACTCACGGGGGCTCTGGCAAACAATAACCCGATGAGTCAATGGACTGTTTGTATTTTTGTCTCTCGTGTTTTCATCGGCAATTGTGAATTGGGGAAATTTTATTTACAACTGAGAGGAGTTTAGACGGCGCGAGGGCCCGGGAAAACGCGGGTGTATCCAGGCAAACTCGTGAATCGACCAAGCTGTCAGAGAGTGGTGGGGGGACGGCGGGGAGCAGTTGACGGAGGGGGGAGGGGGCAGAGGGCGAATGTTTCTCGTGAGAATAATGAACCGACGCGACCTACATCGTTTTTTCCCCAAAAACAATTGCAAATGCGGCAAAAAATTGCTTTGCCCCCGGATTTATGAGGTATCGTGAAGAATAGTAAAGAGGCACTCACACTGAGAGGAGTCAGTCAGTTCACTCGAGCATTACGTAAGCACATGACCACTTATTATTATTTTTTTATCAATTGGTGATTGTTCGTCTCGCGCGTCCGACAATTTACTACGGGAAAACTCGGGGCTTAGATGCTCGCGGGTATTACCGTGTGCATGGGAAAAATATATCGACGATTGGATCCGGCGCGTCAGGCGGAGGAAGCGGGCTCGCGAGGCTGCGCACGCGCAGCGACGGCGGACTGTTTCGCCGCGGTTTTGCGAGTGGGGGAGAGCGCTCTCGGGTTTTTCGGGTGGGAATTTTCGCGAGGGGAAAGCGCAGCCCGACGTCCGTGAGCTTACTGAGCCCCAGCCCTGACCTGCCTCTTTCGTGCACCCTGTGACGCCCACCTAACTCAACGGCCTCCCTCTCCCAACCCTCAGTTGCGCCTCGAGGGGGTAATGGGATTGTGGTGAGATTTTATTCATTTTTTATTTTTGGTCGGCGATTTCTTTTGAGATGGAACGTCATTTTGGGGCGGTATTTTACGGGATTTTTTGGGGGTTTGTTTGGGGTTAGTTGGCGCAGTTTATTGAGTTGTTGGTGGTTAATTTGATTTGTTATTCGGTGATTTTTTATTGGAGGATGGGGTAAAATCGACACTTTTGACTTTTTCAAATGTTAATGGGGGGTTGACATGTTGATGAAATTTAATTTTTTTTTTCAATACGAAGAACAATTCTTTCCCTTTGGGACGAGCCTAAACTGAGCTCAATTGATAAATTTGTTTCTGAGCTATGAATAATTTAGAAAAATCTAAAGTCTCCATCTTACCCCACCCTTCGCTATTGATTATTATATTTGATTAGTTTTAGTAGTTTTATTCGGGTTTTTTTACTAGTTTTGTCGTTTATTGGGAATTGGGATTGATGAGGATTTTTAGGGGTGAAAAACGCTTCGTTTTCGTTTTTTTAACCGATTCTGTTAAACATTATGCGATTTAACCCTGGATTGTCATTAGAGGTTTTTTTATGTCAATCTATTTTTTTATTAAATATTAATGTTGATTTTTCTAGCTGTTCATTATTTTCTTGAACGGGAATTTTAGATTTTTATTTTTAAATTTTTTTCTTGAATTTTATTATGAAAAAAAAAACGTAGAAAATTAATACCCAAGAATTTCTATAAAAAGTTGAAATCTATTTACTTTTTTTAATCACGTCTCTTAAAAAAATAACAAACCGTGGGACAACAGATTAAAAAAAAAAATCAAAAATTCTAAAAATTAATGCATGAATTAAATTTTAATCAATCGGTTCTGTCGCGACCAATTAAAAACTGCATTTCCAGAATTTCTGGGGCATAATGGGTTGATACAAAACAACAAGTCCAAAACTTAAATTCTAACGATTACAACGATTGCAAAGTGAATTATTAAAAAATTGAAAACAATTAAAAATTAAAATTGAAAATTAAAAAATTAAAAAATAAACGATCCTCTGTAAAACCAGGGAAATTGTTGGCTCCCTCTGAGCCACCCCCAACCGTTCATCACGTCTTACCACTTACCCGATGATTTATTTATGTTTTTCCCCCCTGGATCGAGTGAGGAAGTGGATGAGCTCCAAAAGGCAGGGGTACACGGGGAGAAACATGATTTGAGGCTGTTTGTACTGAAATTAAAACACGTTGTGGCACAGATATCCACTTTCTTGGCAGACTTGTGCACAACTGTGAATTAGGATCGTTGAGTTACCACCCACACTCCCTCGGTGCGTCACTAGACACTTCGTTATTATTTCCGAGTTGATTTTTCACCTTTTTCATTACTATATTTGACTGTTCAAGTGCACGGCTGATTGAGCGAGTGTAAATAGCGGAAGTAATTGTGTTAAAATTTCAAAATTACTTAAAAAAAAAATTAATATATTTCTTTCATGAATTTATCTTATTCTTAAGGGCGTTTTGAGAACAGACCTCTCGATATTCTCCCTTTTATGATTAGTCATGATATTAAAGCGATTTTTTGATCACTTGAAAATGATTTTTTGGAAATTAAAGTTCACTGTTTTCCCCATCTCATTGCATTCTCCAGCTTTTATAATTATTCGATTATTTCGAGAACGACTAATTTCAGGACAAAATCACATAAGACTTTTTTTCTTCAAAATTTCATCAGCTACAAAAAAGTTCTTATCGCATTTTCCTCTAAATCCACTCGTTCTCAAGATAATTGAACAATTAACAAACGAGTTTTCCACTTGTTACGTTTCGACTGCTAAATTATGAACCATTCGTTCGTCCCTTAATTTCCTCTAATTTCATGACAAAATGACGTTCGAATTTTTTGTATCAAAATTGTGTCAGCTCCAAAAAGGTCTGACATTTTTCCCTCCGAGATGAATTAAATAATTCACAAATACGCGTTTTACGATTTATTTCGTTTACTTCTGGTAAATTTATGCGTCTAAATTTCCCCAATTACCATTCCAGATTTAAATCCCCCAATCCCCTCTGATTGGCCTCATATCTCGGCAAATTGGCGCCCAGGCGCACATGACGGTAGCAACACTTGCTGCCGCATTGCGCGATTCATCCAACTGCTATTGCATTACAAACCCCCTCCCAGTTTTCGATTTTTCTCCTCTCACCCCATATTGACGGCTAGATTTTTGGGGTCGCAGTGCCGCATAGTCCGCTAGGGCCACCACGTCTGCGCGATAACGGATTATGCGCGTATCTAGCTGGTTTTTGTGACAAAAGATAAAAGGGATGTTGTGGTGAAGTGGAACGAGGGGATAAGGAGATCTATTAAATTCCCCATTTTCATTTTTCTTTGCGTCGGGGGGAGGGGGTGGCTACAACCTATTTCAGTGAATAGTTGAGGGAATTACTTAACAGAGCTATTCAAGCCTGAAAGACCCTTTTAGAGTTTGATGAATAGAAGAAAATCGTTTCCAATTGTGAGGAGAGATGAGCGCAATATCTCAAGAGGTTCAGAGGCTTTGGGGTTAGCAAAACTCCTGCCATGCGGGGAAAACTCTCCGCCATGAAATCTCAGCCAACAGAGGAGGAAAAATCTGGAGAAGAGCTTGAAAAATTTGTTCATTTTGTAGGAACTGAATGTCACGAGTTGAGGGTAAACGAAAGAACATAAATGATTTTATGAAAGGTCAAACATATGAGGTGGGTGACAGCTGTGGACGCCATCTTGCTTGGGTACCCCCTCTGCTGGAAGGGGTTTCAAAGATGGCGGCGCCCTCACCTCGTGTTTTTAAACACTTCTTAAAATTATTTATCCTCCTCAGATCACGCTGAACTCAATTGGTTCCGGTTCTAAAAAAATGAACAATTTTTTTTAGTCATCTCTCACATTTTTCCGTCTTCTTTTGGCTGGGAATTCATGACGCAAAGTTTTTCCCGCATTTTTTTCACTCCCGAGGGCTTTTAAAACAGCTTTAGTGAGGCAATTTTATAGATTAAAAAATGATTTTTTTGGATTTGTCTAATTTGTCTAATATTTGACGAAATAAGGAAACACCAAAAACGTTAAGATGATACTGTTTTATTCTTCTGCTCCAAGAACAATATAAAAAGCATAAAAAAGTATACGTGCGACAATATCATTGGTCTCCACAGTTCAATACTGAATTATTTAAAAAAAAATGTAGATTTAAATGGGACAAATAGCTACCTTGTTTCAAGTATCAAAGGTAAAAGCCTGTTTCGTTCAATGTCTTCGATAATTCTTACAAGCTAGCGTATAAATAATAGATAGAAAATTTCACAGGATAAATTCACCGACATCAGAAATTCCTTAATATTAATCACGAGTAGCTAGCCAACTAGTTATTATCATGATTCGTTTTGTCGGTTGGGTTTATCTGAGGGCGGAGAAGCCTCGAGATTTAATGAAGCGAAAGGGTCGCAGGGGCTCTCGTGGGGCGGTGGATTTTGATGCTTCTGGTGAGGAGTCGTTCTCCTTTCCCCAGGCGTGCCTCGGCGACTCTATGCCGAATGGGGAGTAGAGCTTTGTCGGGGTGCGACCTAGGAGGCAACGAGAACGAGTCTGGGGAGTTGCTGAATTGCATCCACCGTTCATTGGGGACTGTTGCTCGTCCAGGATCTGTCGCCTTCTTGTCGAGCTTCGAAATTTCTGCAAATAATTTCAATGTTTGTCTTGAACGCTTGAACGCTTCAGGCTATTCAGACTTGTGGGCACTTTGACCGTTACATGGTAAAAGAATATCAACTTTTGGAAAAAGTATCTGGACAATTTACGATGCTATTCATTTTCATGGATGACAATGATAGAATAAATAATGGAATGTTAGAAGAGTTGAAATTATGCCATTAAACAGCGATAAAAACAATATGACGAAAGTATATAGTTATCATAAAGACGCTGTCGAGTGTCCGTAACATTGTAATTTACCGAAAGTATTGTTCTTTTTATTATCTATTCAATTACTTACGCCATAGGAAAATGCGAAATTTATGTAAAATCATCGTCAAAAAATTCGGTGGCGAGAGTCGTTGCTAAACTTTGAGGCTCATCATGACAACAATGAAAAAAATTATGTCGAAAACCTAGGGCTTTCTTTCAGAATTTTCATTGAATTTCTAGTGGTTTTCTGTCATTGACAATTTGGAAAATTTAATCCGATTGCCAATTTTCAACCACTGGATTTTTTTATTCGTATTCTTTGGAAATGCAATTTTTAATTATAATGACCTTTTCGTTGATAATTTATAAACAATTAATATTTCACCCTAAAATTAACTTTCTTGGATTTGTTTACATTTAGAATTTGATCAGAAGTCGATTTCATGGAGAAAAATAAGGTTTCGAAAATTGACACAATTTTTATTTTTTATTTATAAAATAGGCAACGTTTTGAAAAATAATTATTTCACGGAAAATTCAACTTGCACAAAAATGTCTGCAATTTTCCCATAGAGATTGAGTAAAAAATTTTATGATTAAACATTCAAATAAAAAAATTTTCTATTGATTTTGAGGAATGATTGAAATTTCACCTGTGAAATTGTTCCAAGGGTTGTCCTAACCGACGAAATTGTTTTCGATAGTTTTTCCGCCCCAGTTCTGAACGCCCTCCGCGAGTCCGCCGAGACATTCCCGAGACTCAAATTGTTCCACCCCCTTGGCTCCGATTTACCGCTCAATTTCTCTTTCGTTTCCGTTTTCTCTTTATCGAATTTGTCCTGGAGCCTCTGGCGCAGGTTGCGGCGGCTCTGGGACACCTGGGGCGAGCGGTCCGCGAGGACCTCACGGTGGAACGTGAATGAGACACTTCTCGAGTCCGGACGCATTTTTGCGACGAAAAAAAATTCTAAAATTGAAAAAAAAAATATTTCAATGTCCGAACGATTTAAATTACTTTCCATATTCAATTAAACACTTGATATATTAGAAGTAAATCAATTTTTTTTCAACTCAGTGTACGTTTTCACTAAAATAATCTTAAAAATAAAAAGAAATAGGAAATTTTAATGATTTCTAGTTTCTAAATTAAATTTTTTTAGTCAGAAAAGTTTAGAGAGATTTCTAAACGTATAGATGGCCATTTCGATAGTAAAAATCAATGAATAGTTAATTTAAAAAAGAAAGGGCGCATCTAAAATCGAAAAAAATAACAAATTTCAATTTTTTTTAAATGTTAGAACTGTTTTTAACCATTTAAACACTCGTTCCACCTCAAAAATTAATAAAAACGCCTAAAATATTCATTAAAAAACCTGAAATATTAAAAAATCGCCGACTAAATGCTATAATTCCCAAACTCGATAATTCAAAAAAATTTTAATTGAAAAGTGGGGCAATTTACCTTAAAAATCAAGTGGAAAACGTCACAACTGACCGTTACACTTGACCGTCAAATTCACAGACGCGTGGTAATTCGTAACGGCAATCTGGGCCGTCAGACCGAAACGCGAATCTCCTCCACCGAAAAAGGGATCCAAATTTCTCACTCCCTCAGTCGATCAGCCCCGAGCTAATCTACACTAATTTTCCCGACTGTTCTGAATACTCAGTCACAGAATCGACGGGAATTTTAAAAAATCTCTAGCGAAAAATACTGGCTCTCAGTCTCCGTTGACGGGTGTTCATCCCCCGGTGCACAGTGCAGGCAGATGTGGGCAGATGCAGCCGCTCTGTCTCTCTCTGTCCTTCGCAGACGCTCTGGCGCGCGTTTATCGATCTGTCAAATCGTTGAGTCAGTCTTGTTGCTGGATTTCTCGGTTAGATGGCAATGGGGGAGGGACAGAGGTCGCTGAGGAAAGGCGGTATATTTTTTTGAACTGTTTGAATTGAGCTCAACAATGGATTTTTTAATTTCTCCCCCTCCAGGCCATTTTGCGGCTCTCGGCTATTTTAAACTCCGCAAAAAATCGGTTTACTTTTGCCAACGTTTCGACTGGTAAATCTCACTCATTCAATATTCACCCCCTGAGATTCTATTCGTTTATTTTAACGTCAGCGACCTCAATACGAGGTCTGTTAGCTGTTGAATGGTGTTTACAAGGTAAAAAATCCAAAACAATACTTACATATGTTGTTTTTTTAATTTGTCTGTGTAAATATATAATTTGGAAATTCGTAGGCCTAATTCAGTAGCGAAGTCGTAAAACGGTTCAAGTTGACTCATCTCCCAGTTGAGTTTTTGAGGAATATTTCGGTCTCTGAGGGAGATAGCGAAATTTTCGTAATTACATTTGTTGTAGCACTCAATCGGCTCCACACAAAAGGTTATAACAAAAATTTTTCTATCTTCCTTAGATTCCGAGATATTGATTGAAATCTGGTGAACAGTCAAAATTGAGATATCTCCTTTTACCACTTCGCTACTGAATTATATTTTCAGTTCACGTTTTTTTAAGGAACTTGTTAATGGATTTGATAACTATTGGATTCAGAATACACACAATGTTTGATAGGGTATTATGGCAGAATTTGAATTTTATTCCTCACAATTTCGTGTTTTCGAGGGACAAAGGCTCAATTTCGAATTCCTCGTTAATTTCTTCGTCGGGTTCAGTGAAGTGAGAGACTAGAGATGCACCTAAAACGTCCGCTATTATGTTCACTGTCGTCCGAACTCTATCACTGGAACAAAAAAATAATTACGCAGGAAATTCGAAGTTTTTATGAGGCGAAGGCTTCGGGAATATGCGGAAAATAGTTTCTAGATGTTTTTCTTAACTTACACTAAACTATCAATAGTGATAATTAAGGTCACGTCCTCCGCGGGGATCCCTAGGGATTGCAAGACAACAATCAACATGACGTATCCTCCGCTGGGGAGTCCGGCAGCTCCGATGCAAGAGACAGTGCAAGTTATCCTGTAAAAATCTTATCAATTTATTAGGAATGAATCATTCCTCTTGCGCTTGAGGACACAGAAGAAAAAATTTCGTTGAAAAACTGAGTCGATAGAAAATTCTATTGAAGTTGTTTTGAAAATTCTATTAGCGTTCGGACGAGTCTATTGAAAATATTCGAAACTTGCTCGCTTTTCATTAGAAATTATTTGATAAAAAACAGTCGAATTTCATCGTTTCATACAATTTTTTCTCTGAAACATTCTCTACAGAAATTCTTCGGCGTGAATTTTCCAAGTTTTTCCTCTCTGATTTTCTTCTTTTCATTGAAAAAAATTAATAAACAAATTTGAAAAAATTGAGCCGCACAATTTCTTTAGAAAATATCTTAATACAATAAGTTGCATAGGAAAATCTTATTCGAGTGATTTACAATTTCCATTGAACATTGCTATTGAAGAAAAAAAAGGGAGATGAGCTGCCTAATTATTCCACAGATTCGGCCCAAAACTAATAGAAAAATGAATAGAAATCCGATAGAATTTTCCGACGATTTCGCTAGATTTTTTTGTCACAATTTTTCGTGCGTGGAGAAATGTCACTGCGGTGGTACTGACGCTATCGCTATGGTTCCCGCCAGGGAGAACTCCAGCCCCCTCATTTGGATGATGAATAATGCTCCCACTGTCTCGTACAACGCGATTCCATCCATGTTAATCGTTGCGCCTATTGGAACCATGAACCTCGAGACCTTTTGGTTGACCTTGAGCTCGTCCAGGCATTTTAGGGTGACAGGAATTGTTGCAGTGCTAGAAGTGCAAGAACTCAATATTCAATTGCACACAGAAGACGACGGGGTAAAGCGGATAATTTATTTTAAATTACTGTAATTTAAAAAAATTGCACTTTTTAAATTGTTTCATCAATTTTCCTCCAAAATCTCATCATCTTTCTCATTTTTCAACTCGGGCTTTCAATTAAAGGCCCGAGTTGAAGACCCGAGTTTGTAGCAAAGATCTCAGACAAGATATGAATGTTTTTTTGGGCTCAAACGAAAGAGCGGCTCGAGAAATGGCGTGTTGATGCCTCTAAAGATGGTTTTGAACCAGAGGAGACTCCTAGACCCCAATGTTCTATACATACTCCTAGACCCCATTATCCTCCTAGACAATGATGTCACAACTCTGCTTTTCAATTGAAAACAGACATCATCTTTAGAGACATTTGTTATGTTTAGAGGCTCTAGCACGTCATTTCTCGACCCGCTCTTTCATTTGAGCCCAAAAAAACATTCATATCTTGTCTGACATCTCTGCTACAAACTCGGGCCTACAACTCGGGCTTTCAATTGAAGGCCCGAGTTGTAGACCCGAGTTTGTAGCTGCGATGTCAGACAAGATATGAATGTTTTTTTGGGCTCAAATGAAAGAGCGGCTCGAGAAATGGCGTGCTAGGGCCTCTAAATATGACAAATGTCTCTAAAGATGATGTCTGTTTTCAATTGAAAAGCAGAGTTATGACAACATTGTCTAGGAGGACAATGGGGTGTAGGAATATATATAGAACATTGGGGTCTAGGAGTTTCCCCTGGTTCAAAACCATCTTTAGAGGCATCTTTGCTACAAACTCTGGTTTTCAACTTATCAAATTTTTTGCAAGTGCTTTCCAACGGTTCAATATCGAGATACAAATTCAGACGTGCAAAGTTTAAATAATAACGTCATTGCAAAATATTTTTCAATTTAAGCTCAAATGCGGCTCAAATTTAAGCTCTGATGTTCGACTACAAAAATAGAAAAGCATTTCACCGAAGAAAAAATAGCCAAAGTACGTATTTATGTATTTTTAATAGAATTTTCGAAAGGAGTTCAAAGTCGAATTCGCGAATTCTTCTACGGCATTTTTCCGCGCGTGATGTGCTCTCATTAAACAATTAATTTTCACCTGGACGATGTCCCAATGGCAGTGATAATTGCCGGTCCAATCTTCGATAGAACGGCGAACGGCGACTTACGAGTGCAGACGAAATAGACAAACGGGAGAATCATCAATCCATGAATGGCTAATCCCAGAAATACTGTTCCAACGTAGATTCCCAATCTGGATATCATCCCTCCGATGTCTTCGCTCTGCAGAATTTTCCCTGGGATCAGGAATAGAACGCCTATCGGGACGATCCTAGAGGCGAACCAGAGGAAAGAGTGAGCTACGTAGCGAATTATCCGTCTCTGATCTCAGATGATTCAGGATATTTTGTATAAATACAAAATTAAATTTAACGTAAATTTACGAGATTAAGGAGTCCATCACTCGCATGCTGACCTCGGAGAGCCCATTGCAGAAATCCAACAGGGGTTTTCCTTGTTCTTTTATTTCGCCGATGGCAACTCCCAGTAATAGACTGAAAGCCACGAGTCCCAGGACGTTTGTGCCCGGAGTGTCTTTATGCGAAATTACCCAGGTGTAAATGTCACTCGAGTTTGAGCTATCCGTTCCATTTTCACGGTTTATGAGAACAGTTTGGTACTAGGACAAAAAAATTCAGATTGGGAGTTGAAAATCACTGGGGGACGGCTGCACGAAAAAATTTAATAGAAATTTAATTAGTTTTCAATGAATTTATTTTAATTTAACGAGAAATTTGCTTCATTGATTTAATAAGATGTTGAAAATTTAATAGAAGTGTCTGGCGACTTCGCTAAACAATTGGATTTCTATTAAATTTTCTACTCATTTTTGAAATCGTCCTATAGAAAAATTCGATGGAATTCAATTTTTCTATACAATTTATTATTTCATTGAGATATTTTCTATTTTGGGTCAAATTTTCAAAGTTTTTCAAATTCTATTTTTCTTTTTTTTCTCACCATCATAAACTTATTGATTTTTTAAAGAATTCTAATAGAACTCGAATGTCATTCTGGAGTTCCAGTAGAAATTCAATACAATTTCTTGGAGAAAATGCGTTTTCTATTTAATTTTTTCATACTTTAAGGGATTAACAAGATTTTACTTGATTGAGACAGGACGCTACTAAATTATCTGTCACTAGATTCCTGGAAAAAAATTCAATTGTTAATGAGATATTTATCACACGTACAAAAAAAAATAGGAAAACTTAGCGAATTCGCTAGGAAATTCTGGTGAATTTCCACTAAACTTTCTATTTATTTTTGACCTACTCTATTGAAAAATTTCCAGAGCTTTCGCCTTTTTTCCATGTTTTTTAAAATCATTTCTATAAAATAGGTTCTATTCGATATTTTCTGCAAACAAAAAATTCTTCAATACAATCAGTCGAAAATTTATAGAATTTTCAATAAAAAATCCATAGAAATCCTATAAAATTCCTATAGAATTCCCTAGGAACTCCATCGAAATTCTATCGAATTCTCTACATTTTTCTCTGTAATTCCTAATAAAAAATAATAGCGCGTAAAATGATGAAAAAATAATAATAATTAACGATATAATTCGTTTAATCACCTTATCAAATCTAGAAAAGTGTCTGTCGTCACGAATCGCCTCGAATAATTAAAGGCCCCGTGATTTTCAATTTTATGGAACTCTCCAGGTCGAATCGTCACAGCAAGTAGCACACACAGAGTAATCCCCAGAGTTGTAGTTACGAGATAATAAATTAAGGCCTTGATCCCGATACTTCCGGACGTACTCACACGACAAGTGGCACTCACAATGCTCGAGACAATCAGCGGGAGAATGACACAATTGATACTTCTCAGGAATAACTCCCCCGGAAACTGAAAATACATGATTTGACGATCGGTCCAGGGCTGGGGTGTCAAGTGCTTCAGGATTATTCCGAGGATAAATCCGGAGGTGACGCCCATTAATATGAAAATTGTCGATCGGTTCTCCGAAGAGACCTTCATGATTTTTAATTGAGAGAATTGGAATCGAAATGATTTGGAGAAAATTGAGGGATAAAGGGACTAGAGGAGAATTTTTTGATCTGTTGCTGATTAAAATGAGGGGAAAACGTTCACTGAGTGCCGCCCAAACATTCAGGGTGCTACTGACTGTTATCTACGTAGTGGTCTTATCATCAAAGTATAAATCATGGAGATCCTAGAATGAAATTCTCAATTACCTTGAGTCGCATCTTCTTTATTTACGGGCAATAAATCTGTCTTTTATTTAATTTTTCTAGTCTACAAATGGTGGGAACTTCGGAGGTTTTTTGGGGAATTGTTAAATTTTATTAATTTGTTTATTTTAATATTTATTATAATAGTGATAATTCTGAAGGATTTCATCTTCTAAAAAATTTTTTCTTCGAAAAATTTCTTCATAACTTCGGGGTCCGCGAGTTTTCAATCAATCAAAGAGAGAAATATTGTCTTGAGAACAATTTTGATTCATTATTATTCATGTATGCATGAATGAATGAATGAATGAATGGATGAATGAATATGAAATTATTTTAGAATTATTTTAGAATTTCGTATGCTTTAGAAGCATACGAATAAATTTATATTGTGCATTTACTCATTTTTTCAATTGATTAAGGAATTATTTTTTATTCTGGGGGACAGTTGGTTAGTCAATAAATCAGGGAGATAAAAATTCTTTTGAATACAATTTTTATTGATTATGATTCATGAAATGATTCTGAATAATGAAAGCCGAAGGATTCGAATAATACATCATTTCTCACACGAGTAAATATGCATTCGTTAAATTGCTCTTCCAATAAACAAAGAATGTCAATCACTGTCGCAACATCATTTACTATTCATTGATTCGTGAGTCTTGAAAAGCGACATCAAACATCAACAATCACTTAACACAATTACTCAAAAATTTTTACTATCATCGAATCCCCGGGGGGGAGTCGATCCACGTACGAAAACATTTCATAGAAAAACCTAGCGAATTCGCTAGAAAATTCTGTTAAATTCCTATTCAATGAAATTCTACTGATTTTTTCAGCTAATGTTTTCTATGAGAAAAAACGTTAAGTAAAGCTCTGTTATTCAATAGAAATTCAATAGAATTCTCTATGGAATTTTTTCGTGTGTGTAATTATGCAGGTCCACACAGGTCTGAGTCAAATTTTCATTCATCCTCTTAATTTGTACTTTAATGTCAGCAGGCTTGTCCTATTTACAATGTTCATCAGTTATCTCGGATTCTTCGATTTATTCGAAAAAACAAAATTTGTTTTCAAAGTCCTCCTGGCCGGCACATTGGTAATACGAAAAATCTTTCGTTGACTATAAACAGTAGTTGATAACGTGAACACGATTTTATCGATTTGAACACTGACAATGTGTTTTTTTTTTCATTTTCCAAATTATTCGGGAGAGATGGGAAACGTAATGATTCGCAATCAAATTTTTATAACTTTGTTTTGCCCTCAGTATTTATTATTAAATAAATAATTAGTATAATGAATTTATTAATTTTGTTGATTTTGCATTCGTTGAAGAACTAGATTGTAAAATCTATTGAAATTATTTAAAATTCTACTAATTTGTTGCGTAAATTTCTATTTAAAATCGTGCAATTTTGTTCTGCATTTTCCAGAAAACAGACTTTTTTCAAATGTCAGTTGAAAAATCACTCATCAAAATTACACAATCCCCAACAAAAATCGCCTTAAAAAACATAGAATTTCCAAACGAAAGAAAATCATAAGTTCACAAAAATCGGTTCATTACGTTTCATCCCTCCACCACTGAACTAAATAACAAAAAAATTGTATCCTCCATCAGCATTATTTTCCATCAATTTAACGTCCCACGAATGCTAACAAAAATGGCTAAAGGCAAGCTCATGGCACTTTTAGAATTCTCTAAAAACTCATCATTTCCATTCACGTGTTCTCCCGTTAAACGTAGGAAAAAAAAAATCTATTTACACGTTTTAATATATTCTTTTTGGCTGTTCACCACCCCTGGTCATTACAAATAGAATGTGCAGTGACTCTGCATCACTGATCGAATGAAGAAAGATTTTTATAATAAATATGTAGGCGATTATTAATTAAATGCTCAGCCTTGAAAATAATTCAAGGGAACAACTGAGATATGTACATAATTTTAATACAATAATGCACGGCATTTGTGTGCAAAGTAAGGTACTTTGAAGGCCTAAGAAATACTTTGTGTCTTCATCATCCATTTGTCCTGTTGTGATCACACAATTACTCATCAGGGTAACTCTCACCCTTTTTTACACTCCCCAATATCTCTCGACGTCATGTTAATTAGTGAAATCCAAAATGCAATCACTGGGGTTCACACATTCACATATACTCTCACACAAGACTATTTTCTGTATTTTTGTCCCCTCATCAATCTTTTTTTTCCCTTAAATTCACGTGGAAACATTCAATAGAACTCTAATAACGTCTCAACAATTCAATAACTCGAGGAGAAAATAAAATATCTGTATTATTTTGTCTTCATTTTTACGTTAAAAAAATAAATGGAAAAGTGCTGGATACGAGAAATTTAAAAGGTTTTAATTAAAAAATAGATTACGAAAATTTCATTAATGCGAAAATGTTTTGGCAGATTGGGAAAATACGCTTTAGTTCTTATGGCACAGCATGATGACGATACCATTGATATTTCTACAATCCATTTGGAATTATTACTGACGATTCCCTCAGCTCCACTTATCCGAAGTAATTAATATTAATATCACAAAAAATTTATGCTCAATACATTCTTTAAAATCGGGGGGCGAACGAAAATTGGTGAATTTAACGTTTACCCTTCCACTTTATGCCACTGTATTCAGCACTTTTCTCAACTCAAGCCATTCTTGGTATTTTCACTTGGTTCTTCCATCAATTTGGATAGAGTGCGGATTTTCTTAATGACAAATAAAATATGTTGAATCACGAGGGTTTGCAGGATGTGAATTTTTTAACGCTAATGCAGGAGATTGACTTGCGCCATCGTCTTTTTGGATTGTGTGAATTTGTTTTGCTGGAGTTGCTCTTTTGATCGCTATTGGCTCTGTCCAACTCTAGCAGTCTCCTTTCTTCTGGAAATTCGAGGATAATTGAGGAATTTAGCAAATGAGAGGCATTAAGAGCTTTTTACATTATTTTAAATGTAAAATTTAAATGCTCTTTAACATTCTCCAATGATTTTATTACAGGAATTTTGAAAATCTCAATTTGACTTCTCGTTTCTAGTTATTGCGAACAATTATAAAATTTGGAAAAATCATTTTTAAAAATTAATCCATGTAATTCATGGACGAATCATGTGGTTATTATGTAATTTGGTTGACGAATTTGATCTTTAAAAATCGCAAAAGTGCTGGAAATATTTTTGAGAGTGCAACAAATTTGTTGTAATTTTTGTCAACAATTATCCAAAGCTAAAAATCCAAAAATATAAAAGAAAATCGTGGAAATATCTCTTAAACCAACAGGATTCCGGGAAAATACTCTCAATTTTCATAAATTATTCCTCGAGACATTAAAAAAAAATTGTACAAAATACTTCCACTTGTGGAATCATCTCGGAAATGAAATGAAGAATCATTAGTAAAAATTCATTGTCCTAGTTAGCATTCCACAAGGCACCATCTCAATGAATAAATTCAAACCGTTAGAATAAATAGAATAAAAAATCATAAACCAAAGAGTGTACCCATGTGTTCACACGTCCAAGATCCAAATAAAAATATGCACGCGAGTTGTGCAGACGTGATTGTTACAGTATGATGCATGGTTTTGAAAGAAATACGAGTAGACGATTGGATAAAGTGCGTTCAGATTTCCGTCTCTCATCTGAAAAGCAATTCAATAATTTAAATTAGATTATCCAGACAGTTGAGAATGATCAGCTGAGTTTCCTGCGTTAGTGAGTGATGCCGAGATGCGAGATGACTGAGGGAGAATGTTGTGAAGAGTGTGACTCACCGATTTGACACGAGTTAACACGGCCATTGATGAAAGTTTACTAATTACACGAATAAAATTATGTGAATCAGAGAAATTGAAATGATTTGTCGAGAATTAGAGATGAATTAAGCTTTGGATACCCTCCCTGGGTGCATTAGGCGGACAAATACACTTTTAAACCGGTGGAATGAAGAGTTTTGATTATTCTATGTGAAATAAAAAGCTGAAATGACTCAAATAAAAAATTAAAAGGCAGAAATTTTCTTCATCTTTTCATTTCTGAAAATTCTATCCACAAAAATTGTGAGACTCTTTATTCCTCGTGAATGTTTAGTTAGTGTTTTCATTAACTCACCATTGAGTTGTCTCTCTGTATAATACATAGGATCCTGATCTTCCCCGTAATAGTATTCCATGAGGTAAGGTAAAACAGTCATTCTGTGGCATGTACTGCCCTTGGGAGGTGGCACAGCAACTTCCTCGTTGGTTCTCTCGAAACGACAAATCGTCCAGGGATGATGCCTGATCTCCTGTATCGTGAATCTCTTTTCTGGCTCCTTCTGCAGCATCCCCATCAGCAGAGACGCCAGCTCGTCCTCAACGTCATCTGGTATCGTGTACTCCCCTTTACCAATGTTCTCGTATAATTTGTAAATGTTATCTCCCTCGAATGGATACAACCCAGTCGTTATATTGTATCTGTGAGGAATTGAATGGCTCAATCTCTTGGAATGAGGACAAATATTTTTGAGAAAAAATAGGGTAATGTTTTATGTGACATCAGGGACTATTAAAAGATATTTGTGGAGAGAATTCGACGATCATTAACGAGATCATTAAAAAAATAAGAAAATGTGATGAGTTGATTGACTCCATTGTTGAATAATTATGGAATTATCTCTTTAATGAGCGAGTTAAGAGAAAAATATGTAGATACATTTTTTCTAGAGAATTTCATGACCTAAAGAAAACGTATTCTGACTTTTTTCCCTAAAACCACTCATTTCCAAGATATTCGCATATTTAACAAAGCTGTGATGCAAAATTTTTTTTTTTTCATTTCTCCACGACTTACAGAGTAACTCCACTACTCCAAATATCTACTTTGAACCCAGCAAATGTCTCACAGCCATTCGCAATCTCCGGGGGTTGAAATGCGGGTGAGCCTTGGCCCATTGTGCACGTGTCATCAATGGCGAAGGGATCTAACGCCTGAAAGCCAATCAAATGAATTCTAATCAAATGAAGCCCTCAAATTAAAATATTTAGAAAAATTCTGTTCACCTCAGCAACCCCAAAATCACTGATTTTGAGGGTTCCACCAGGTGTCAGCAACAAATTTCCTGGTTTAATGTCTTTGTGAATGATCCCCTGGCCGTGGAGGTACTCGAGACCGTCGACAAGTTGAGTGAAATAACTGTGGGCCTGCCAGATGGGAAACCTCTTGCTTGGCGCACAATCCAGCATGTCCTTCAACCCAATAATCAGAGGCAGTTGGAGAAAAAAAGTGCGAGTGAAGATATTTCTATTAATTTATTGATTCATATGGTCTGGAGAAAATTATCAGAATAATCATAATCACCTGCAGTCCACCAATGCAAAACTCCATAACTAAATACATTTTCTCCTTCTCTGCATTGTACAAAACATCGACAAGTTCAATAACATTTTTATGCTTCAATCTCTTGAGTAACTTTATCTCCCTGAAACGAACAATTCTCATCAAAACGTGGGAAAAAAAATTCTTACAAGATTTTTATCGAAAGATTTCATTTTTTCTTGCGTCAATTGTTCAACAATTTTCCACAGATGTTGATTTTTCAATATAACTTTCTCTGTTGGAATTTTTTCTGTAAGAATTCTTAGGGATGATTTTTCAAAGTTTTTTTTCTTGGATTTAATTACGAAAAACGAATAAAAATACAGCAAAAAAATCACAAAAAAATTAATAGATTTTTCAATGGAATTCTAATAAAACTTCAAGAGAATTCTTATACAACTAGATATTATTCTTTTTTATTTATTATTCGTGATAGAATTCTAATAAAACTCAAGAGAATTCTTGTAGAGTTCCAATAGAAATTCAACAGAATTTTTTGAAGAAAATGCTGGATTTTTCTATTAAATCACAATGCAATGATGAAAAAAAATTGAAAAATGGACAAAACCTTTTGACATTCTGCTCGCCATTGGGTATCCTCCTCAATTTCTTCTTCTTCAGTATTTTGACAGCCCTCCTGAAGAGTGTCTCGGAGTCCAGCATCTCCTTGACTTTACCATAGCTCCCCTCCCCCAGCAAATCACCCATAACATATTTACCAATTAATTTACACCTCTTCTTCTTCTCCTCATAAATAATCTGATCAGAATCAACTCGATGAAAGAACGTGTTTATATCCTCCAAATCAGGATCATCGTTCAACCACGTTACAGGCTCAACATCATCGAATATATTATCAATCTCATCGTCGTCTGGATCACATATTGTTATCCTATTGTCCATTTTTGGAATATAAATTTAACCACTAAATTACCCTCTAGATTCATGTATAAATAACAAAAATAAATTTATTGATGATTTGTTTAACCTAAAAAACGTAACCGGCAACACCATTCTTGAATTTATCGCACTAGGAGGCAGGGCTGTGGCCCCTCTTTTTTTTTTTCATTTTTTCATTTCTTTCGTTAGGGCGTTATCGCAATCGCAACAGATAGAACGACGGAAACGCCGAGATTACGAAAATAAGAGGGAAATAGTCAATTTAAAACATTAGCGATAAACTCTATTTTTCAACAATTTCATCATTTTGAAAATGAATAAAAAAAAAATTGTTGCAATCAATCGGAAAATAAATCGAGCGAAATGCGAAGGCCAATTTTTTGCGCAACTTTTTATTCCTCAAAATATCAAGTTTCCATTTTCCGATTTTATTTACAAACGGAACTGATTAATTTCAGCAATGAAATGATAAAACGTGCAATTATCTCTAAAGTTTCCTCAAAAAATTTCTGTTCTTGCTAAACACGTTCTGTCATTTCACTCCTGATTATCCACACAAAGTAGTAACAGCTCGTAATTACCCCTCACAATTGCGGTATCAATCTGCATACACAATATATAAAAATAACAATGATAATTCCTAGCCCCCGTTTATTTGACTCCTCTTTTCTTTTTCGATTTCCCAGGGGTTTCGTCGCCACTGCCACTCCTCTTCCTCCCCAGCCCCTTGGTGACCTCTCCAAGCTCCTCGACGCCATTCTCCATCCCCTCGTTCCCTCCATTGAGCACCACAGAGCTGAAATCCACTGCATCGAGTCCCTCCCCCATGGCCTTGGCCCTCAGCTCCCTCGCCTCCTTCTTCAACTTCTGTTTGTCCTTCTTCTTACTGAGGTTCTTCAGCTTCTTCTTGACCTCCTTCCTCGACTTCTTGGTCGTCTTCTCCTCCTGCCCGCTGTCTGAGGACTCCCCCTCGACCCTCTCATCGTCAGATTCCCTGTGCACCCCATTCACCTCCACCTCCGCCTTCCTCTTCCTCTTCGTCCCCTCGTTGCTCTGAACATTAGGCGCCCCAATGAGTGCAGCTAACCGATTATAAGCAGTCTTGGCGTCCTTGGACAAGGAAACTCCCCCCCTGTACAGGGCCATGGCCTCCCCGACCCTCCCCCAATCCCAGACCCCCTCCGCCTGCTGCGAATAAACCGCATGCAGCAGCTTCCAGAGAGCCCCCACGAACTTCTGCCTGACCTCCTTCCTCCCATCCCCATTAGCCCTCCCCCCAAGCTCCTGGAACAGCCCCAAGCAATTCCTCGCCAATGTCCTCTCCACCTCCTCCTTAACCCCCCCACTGTCCCTCGTAATTAGCCTGTGATTCCTGTAGAAAGTCGTCAAGAACTCCAGGGCCTGTCCCCTCCTGAACGACCTGATGCTCCCATCGAAGGCGTAATCGACGATCAGAGGCACCAGCTTCCAATTCCCCTCCCAGTTCAACTGCAGAGCATTTTTGAACAAGCTTGCAGGCAGAATGCAGTCCCTCTTCTTGAAGAAGGCTGTCAGATTCTTCCCATAAATATCAACCAAAGTGCTGGGCCCCAGATTGGCCTGCTGAACACATCTTATCAGAAAGGTGCAGCATTCAGCCAGTTTGTCCCCCATCTCCTGGCAGATGAGGGTCGACCTCTCGCCCTTCTCCACGAGCACCCTCCCCAGGTCGGTGATCAGCTGCTCGTCGACCCCCTCAGTGTCTCTGAACCTCTTGACAGCTGACAGCTTCTTCAGGCAGGACCTCACCCTGTTCTCCAGAGGCTTCTGGTGGCTGTCCTTGATGCAAAACTCCAACAGAGCGAAGAGGGGGACCAGCATGTCCAGAGCGAGTGCCATCGAGGGTTCAGAGTCGAGGTAGATCTCCAGAAGGTCCATCACTCGAACCCTGAAGTGTGTCAGTGCCTCGGCGGATTTGCCCTGCTTCTTGCTCTTGGTGGAACGACTCTCCTTGAGGATCCTGAAGGCAGCTGCCAGGGACTCGTCCAGCCTCTTGCCCTCCTCCTCGTCGATCTCGTCGATGTCGATGTCCTCGTCGTCAGTCTGGGCTGAGGCGTCGCCAAGGGCTTGTCTCACTGCTAGCCTCAATTTATCGGTGATGGTCTCGTCCTCCTCGGGGTCCTCCTCGTCAGAAGACTCTGACTCCTCTTCCTCCTCTTCGTCATCTGATTTGTCGTCTGAGCCCTCTGACTCCTCGTCCGACGAGTCCTCCGGGCCCTCCCCCAGGGGCCCCTTGTCGTCCTTGGGGTCCAGCGCCGCCAGGATCTGGTGGACAGACGTCGACGTCAACAGGGGACACACGTGAGGGAAGACACAGCGGACCAAAGACCTCAACAGGTGGCTGTTCCTGGAGAGCAACGACAGCAGTAAATCCACTATGACCTCCACCCACTCTGGCTCCTCCTCCTCTTCCTCTTCTTCTCTTTTTTGTTTGGGTTTCCTGGGGGACTTCGAGGACTTCAGTCGATCCCCACAGCTGTGGATCTCGTTTATCGAGGAGATCGCCATCTCAGGGTTTGAGAACAACTGGAGCCCCATGTTCAAGTCCATTGTGTAGAAGATGAGCACAGCGTGTTTGTTCTTGAAGGACTTCTCGGGTTTATTTATGAACGCGATCATCCTCTTCCAGGCGTCGACGGCGCCCTCTGGCAACGGCGTCCTCAAGCTCCTCGTCTTCTCCTCGAAGATCTCTCTGTCAAGATCAGTTATCAGTTCTGTTAGCACTGACCTCAAGTCGTCGAGCTTTGGGAGCTTGTGGTCCAGGGCTCGATAGAAGCTCTCCTTGAAGAGGGGGGCGACCTCGACCCCCACGTTGGAGCCCTCGCACAGGCCCAGGGTGAACAGAAGCTTGAGTTGCTCCAGCCTCCACGCCTGCTCCGAGGCGACAGCAGGGTGTCCCAGGAGTTTACTCAGCAACTGCCCCACGTACGTCCTCTCAGCATTCGTCCAGGACTCCTCCCTCTCTCCGATCCTCTTCCTCACTGAGTTGGACGCAATTTCGTTGTAGAATTTCGAGAGTTTCTTGACCCCGTTCGTCTCCAGATTCGCCGTTATCATCTGGAGGATTTTTGTCCCTGTGATCTTCTCGATCATCAGGTCCCCAGGGTGCAGCACCAGCCTCTTGAGGACTGATATGGCCACCTTTGGCTTCAAGTCCTTGTCCTTTAGCTGTGTCACAAGGTGGGTCAGGAATTGCCTGAAGGCGTTGGCCACCTCGTCGTGCTTATTCCTCTTGTTGCTGGTGAATCTCTTGAGCATGTGCTGGAGGAAGTTCGGGGTGAGCAGCGAGGGCAGGAGGCTTTTGTCTTTGATGCTCGTGGTGATGAGGTTGAGGATCTCCAGGGACAGGTGCTCGATGCTCCTCGAGGGCTTGACGAAGCGCTGGTCCAGGCCTGTCCAGAAGGGGATGAGGTAGTTGGAGGTCACCAGGTGCTCGCAGAAGATGGGGTACAGGGGGTGGCGGCAGTAGATTATCCTGGGGATGTCGGTTAGCAGCTTCAGCTGGTGCTCCAGGGACTGCTCGGTGATTATCGTGTCTGTGCCCAGGTGCTCTTTGAGGAATCTCTTGGTCACGAGGGTCGGGAACTTCACTGACATTGTCAGGAGGGTGTGGAGGGTGTCCAGGGTCTGCCCCGACCAGGGCTTGCCCAGCTCGCGCTCGAGGATCGGCCAGATACTCAGCTTCAGGGATTTCGGGGTCAACTGGTGGAGGAAGTCGATTAGGAAGGACGAGGCGCTGAAGGAGAGGTAGCTGCGCTTACCTCCGGCCTCGAGGAGGATCTCTGTTATCTTCTGTTGGAGGTCTGGGGGGGATGACTGCAGGAGGTTTGAACGGATCAGGGAGCCGCAGAAGAGAATTCTGCCCATGAAGATGTCGGCGTTCTCACTCTTGGGGTTGTGCCCTGAGGACTTTAGCTCCACTTCCATTGTCTCGATCAGGGGCGCTAGGGGGGTTTCTGGGTGCAGCCGGAGGTAGGCTGTTAGTGTCGTGTAGAATCCCTTCTTGGAAGAGGGGCGAGAGGCTCCTAGACCACGGATCAGACGACGGCGGGAGTAGTCCAGCTCTTTGCTGTCTGGGGCGTCCTGAGGGGAATTTTAGTGAATTGATGGCGTGAAATTTTTAGGACTGAAAACGTTTTTTTGGGTTCTGTACTAATTTATCAATTTTCAATGATAAAAATTATTCTATTGCATCAACAATTCAACCATTGGCATTAAAAAAAAAACTCAAGTGTCCATTTTACGTCGCCCACCCCAAAGCCAAAAAATTTCTGCAGAAAAAATCTCGAGGGAAATCAAAATCGATCGACCTTTTCCACCAAAAAAACTATTAAAAATCGAACAGCAACGTTGCATAGATTTTCACAAAAAGGCCACGTATTGGCTATTTTAAAACAGAAAAAATATCTCGAGTGTCTCATTCTCTAAAACAAATCTTCCTCCTCTACTTTAATTACTAAAAAAATTATTGCAGCAATCAAGAGGCATTTACAATAAACACTCGACATCAACGAAAGTTTGACTCTAGTCTCGAATACTTTGCTCCCTGAATTTTTCCAAATTAATAAAACTGTTTAACTTTAACGAATGTCGAGTGTTAGAGGTTAAGACTGAGTACTTACACTCCTCAACTGCGACAAATGTCTCAACAATGTTGTTCCCCCATCCAGCCTGGTGCGCTCATCCTCAGAAGTTAATTTTGTGAAACTATCCAGCACTGATGCCCCCATTTTCCGAATTTTCTTTGGATTTTCATCCTTATTGGAATTAGAATCACTTGAGGCCGATTCCATCTCGACCATGTGCATCAAAAAATCAAAACGTCTCTGTCCTCTTTCAATACATGTGGGGGCTTGCAGGCAACTTCAGGCGGCAGGCGTGCAACGTCAGATTATTCATTCCCCCCTGCCCCCCTGAGCCCTGAAGTTGCTCGGGTTGACTTTCAAGTGAAGTCAGTCGTCTTGACACAACTTGTCGGCTTTATCCTGTTTTCTTCTTTATTTACATAACAAAAATCTCGTAATTCACGCGGTGAAGATGGATTCAGCCCCTCCTGCACCTCAGGAATACGTCAGAGATGACCAATAAGTGATCACTCGTCCCCAATGAATGATTGTAATTCACTTTGGATACCTTGGAGAGCTCTTTGCAAATATGGGGTCGAGTGTTGTCGGTTTGTTGACGAGCTCCATCAGCTTCTTCTTCACGTTTCACGTGCTCTATAATTTCATGTACTTCACGTCTTCCCAGAGTTACGATAAGAGCATTATCGTTAAAAAGTCCGCCGCAGGTAATTATTATTTTTTATAGTTTTTTTGCAAATATTGTTTTCGATGGAAAATATTCGGCAGAGGAACAACTTGTAGAGAAACTATTGAGATATTTGCTATAGAAATTCTCTGACTGAATTTTTTTGTTTTTTACTTAACTTTTTTGCTAAAAAAAGAAAAATTGAGTGGAAAAAATTATGGATTTATGTATGAAATTTTTTCGTGCTTGAATTATTGAAAATTCATTGAATTTCAATAAAAATGCAAAAGAATTCCATCACAGCCTGATTTTTTTTCAACTCTAACATCCAGATTTATAATTCCATTATTTTTGGTACTAAAAATGTGATAATAGCCCGAAATTAGATTATGTGAAATTAAGTTGAAATAGCATCAAAGAAAATAAATTGAATTAAATATTTTTCATCTACTAGATGATGATTTTTTATAGAAATTCTCTGGCTCAGGGCGAGGACTTTTACCTGAAGATGAAAATCTATTGATTGTTTCCGTAAATCCGCAGTAAAGCTTTGGAATTCTTCACTAGAGTCGACCAAAACCTAGTATAAATAATAATAAATTCAATAGAGAGTTCTACCAAATTCGCTGGGTTCTTCTATAAATTTTTTTTGTTTTTGAATTGCTGAAAATCCCTTAAATTTCAGTAAGAATTCAAAAGAATTCCATCACAACCTGATTTTTTTTTCAACTCTAACATCCAGATTTATAATTCCATTATTTTGCTACAAAAAATGTGATAATAGCCCGAAATTAGATTATGTGAAATTAAGATGAAATAACATCAAAGAGAATAAATTGAATTAAATATTTTTCATCTACCAGATGATGATTTTTTATAGAAATTCCCTGGCTCAGGGCGAGGAATTTTACCTGAAGATGAAAATCTATTGATTGTTTCCGTAAATCCGCAGTAAAGCTTTGGAATTCTTCACTAGAGTGCAAAACCTAGTATAAATAATAATAAATTCAATAGAGAGTTCTACCAAATTCGCTGGGTTCTTCTATAAATTTTTTTTGTTTTTGAATTACAGAAAATCGCTTAAATTTCAGTAAAAATGCAAAAGAATGCCATCAGAGCCCCACTTTTTTCAACTCTAATATATGATTTATAACTCCAACTCTAATATATGATTTATAACTCCAACATTTTGCTGCCAGATGATGATGTGTACCTCACAAGCCTCTGGAAACTCACGATAAACACCTCCCTCCTGAGTGTATTCATGCTCCAGCACTCGTTCATGGCGAGCCAAACTGTCAAACAGTTCTACGAGAAACTGCGTATAGTAGAACTAGAGAGAAGTGTATACAACGCAGCGAGTGCTGCTGCCTTGCACTTGATAATGACGAATTGGGAGTTGATATCATCGATCTCGTTATGGCACATCGACACATCTGCCAGCAACAAATTGTGGCTCATATTCTCCGGATTTCACCTGCTGGCCTGGTTCGTCATATACAGTGGATGCGTTATGCTCGATATTTCCGAGCTGACGGGGCTCAAGCAAGTCTGGTACAAAATGTCAAACAGGCCTTGTCCAATGTCAACAAAGTCCAGGGAATATCAACGGTATCTTCTCCACATGAGACACCCCAGCTTCACTGCTTTTCTCATTATTCTCTGGGTTCATCCTCTCATGACGTGAGTTTTCAACTTTTTTCATGATTTATTCACATGTTTTCTGCATCAACTCGTTAGGATAAATTTAATGAAATGAGGGAAATGGAAAAAGTCATGAATTATTGCAGAGAAAATGAAACAGAATGAGTTTTGTAGCAGAATAAAAAATTATTTAGTTTTCTCTCATATATTTAGTTAGTTTTCAAAAGAATTCATTAAAATATTATTTGAATTACTGATTGAGCTATTTGTGATACTATTTATTACTTTGGAATCATCAAAGGTTGATTCCAAAGGATAAAATTATTATTAACTATTTATTAATAGTTGTATATAAATAGTATATTAGTAAATAGTAAGTATTATTAATGAATAATATTAAATAAAATAGTACTTGAATGATTTCATTAACTAAAATATCTGGAATAGCTTTACAATAATTTTTCTGTATTTCCAGAATTGACAGATTTCTCATGGCATCGATAATCACTGTTTACATGCTGATAATGTGGACCATTGATGAAACAGATTATCACTATCACGCCATGAACGTCGACAGAAAACGGCGAGAATTATCTTGATTCGGCGATTCACGAAGTTACTCGTTACATCGCGATTTTTGTATCAACCATTTGTTCATTTTCCATGCTTTCTCGCAGCACTGACATCACTAAACACTACGTAGAGGATTTATTGATGGATTTAATCCATGGGCATTGCAAAAAATGGGCTTAGTGCTTTTCAGGGACGAAGGAAACGCTGCAGACTGGGTTTCGCTTCTTCATTATTTCGTCATGTGTTCAAATATAATTTTTCTTGTCATATTACTTAAGACTTAAGTACCGGTGCCTTTGTAAATACACAGAAACGTTTATACATAGCTATGTATGTATTTATAATTTTTGGAGTTCTATTGGGGTGAGATGATTTATTATTTCATTCGAAGACTTTTGTGTTGCAATAAATGTTTGATAACAATTACTTTGACTACACTTCATTTAAATCATGAAAATGCCTCATAGAAATTAATAATGAATCTAAAAAAATCAATTTTAAAGATGAGTGAGTGAAAAATTGATGAATAATTGTGAATCATTGATCAATCCCTTTAATTATAGAATTAATTAGTTTTTTTCTGCTATATTTTCCCCATTTTTAATCACGAAGTTCAAGAAAAAAATCGCGTACAAGAATTCTTGCTGAAAAAAACCAATAAATCCCAATTCTCCATTATTATGCAGAAAAATCGATATTTATTAATTTTTTATACGAAAAAAAAATAATTTTCCGTAAAATTTTAATAGAATTCCCATAGATTTTTTTGTGTCTTTAGAACAGTGATTACATTTCCATAAAAGCTCCATCACATCCCTAGGCATCATCAATTCTATTGAGAATAGCCTCCTGATTAGCCTCTGCAGTTGCTCTATCCGAAATATTCATGAATTCCTGAGCATGAGTGAAGGCCCCCAGACCCTCCATCAACGTCAGGTTGATTCTGGTATCCGGTCTGAACTTGAAGTTCAATATAGCTTCAATCTCCAGCCAGTGGCGTCTCCTCAAATGTTTGTTCCGCAAGGAGATAATTGTCGGTAATCTCTCGCGGATGTACTCGACCTTCTCCTTCAACTCTAGAACGATGGGCCTTCGCCCCAGACCTGTCTCCAGCTCCCCAACATTCTTGAAGTGCTCTTCGGTCGCACTCGCCATTTCTTCGGTGTTCAAACTGCCGAAGTCGCACTCGTACCAGAGGCGGGTACTCTCCCCCCAGGAGGTCATGCACTCCCATAATAAATCTCGAAGGTGAATTTCGTTTCTCACGTGATCGAGAATTTCTAGTCTTATTGTCTCCAGGTCGAAGGACTTCTGGTAGGCCTGATATTTATCGACTATTTTCGAGTATTCTTGGAGCTTGGAGGCGAAATCTTTGAGGGTCTCCTGGCAAGTGAAGGCGTCACTCAGGGGATCTAGCAACCACGGCTCCTATTTTATTTGTTTGGGAAGAAAAATTAAGAGGCTTTGACAGTATCTTCGATACAGCTGTAATTGTACGTGGATATGTCTACGGTCTTTGCTTCTTTCTCGAATTTCCCAGAAACTATTTGCATTCCCTCGAATTTTCTGGAAACTCCGTGAATTCTCTCGAATTTTTTAAAAACTCCTTGAATTCCCTCGAATTTTCTAGAAACTCCCTGAATTTCCTCGGAATTTCTAGATACTCCTTGAATTTTTTCGAAATTTCACGAAACTTCTCGAATTACCTCGAAATGTCTAGATTTTTCTAGGATTCCAATAGATGGCGCTGCACATAAGGACCATTTTCCAAAATGACCCCCCATATTGAAACCATAGACGTATCCTCGTGAAAAAATACTGAAATGCGGGGGAAAACTGTACACTCGAAATTCTCAGGCAAAAGGGGGTACAAAAATTGAGGGATAGGTTGACAAATTCGTTCATTTTCTAGGAATCGGGTGACGCGAGTTCGAGGTGATCTGAAGAGGATAAATAATTTTAAGAAATGTTCGAAAATACGAGGTGGTCGAAAGGTGCGGGCGCCGCCATCTTGTTCGGATATCCCCTTCAAGATGGCGGCGCCCCGCCATCTTGACGTCGCAGTTTTAAACATTTTTAGAATTATTGTTATGCCAACATCAACATCTATAGGCATTTTATAAATAAAATCAATTTAAAAACGACAAATAAATTGCAACAAAAATTCAATTTGTCAATTGAATTCTAATAGAGTTTCAACAGAAATTCAATATATTGCGACTTTTTTATGAAATTTCTCATGTCTATTGCAAATCAGTGACAACAAACACTTACTGAAATTAATTCATTGATAACCGACACGTCATCCGTCAATTTCCTGACATCATTGCTAATTTGTTCATTGAATTTCAAGATCAGTTCATCGCGTTTCTTGAGCCGCTCGGCGACGGCAATTTTGAAACTCGTCAATGCAACGTTGATCATCTAGCGAAAAAATGGCTGAATGAAATTCCCATGATGTGGAATAACAAATGAGGAAACACAAATTATTTTCAATTTCATAAATTAATAAATGAATGAATAAATAAAAGTAAAAAAAAATAATAATAATAATAAAATAATAATAATAATAATAAAATAATAATAAACAATATAATAAAATAATAATAATAAAAAATTGCCAATTTCATAAATGAATAAATGAATGAATGAATAAATGTGCCGTGAGTTAGAAAAATGCAGCGCGTCCCCCTCACCAAATAATTAGCGAAATCCTCGGCATCTACCGGTATTCCGTATTCCTCCGTGATATCATACAACTCTTTGATATAATCCCCATCCCCTTCCATATTATCAATCCTCAGGTGTGCATCGTCGATGAATTCAACGTAATTCGCGAAACTGTCTGCTGTTGTTGGATCAGTGTCAAGGTAAGTCGTGGCGTCTAATATCTTGGACAGGAGAACGTCAACTTTGGATTTTCCAATTCTATTTTGAGGACAATAGACGAATCATTGTTGGAAAAATAAAAGAGGTCTAATTACAAGGAAAGAAAAAAGTCTGTCTAAAAACGAAAAAGAAAATTAACTTTCGTTGGAATTCCATTGAAAAATGCTCAGCTCTTCTGCATTTTTAGATAGAAATATTCAATAGAAATTATTTTGAAGGAGCAATCAAAAGATTTTATTTTTTTCTGTAACTTATTTTGTCGAAATTACTTCTGTAAAAATTTATGAGCTTCAAATTTATTTATCAGATAAAAAAACAGTGAAAAAGAAGCGCAGAAAATTTACGAATGAATTGAATAGAAAAATCGAAATCTGTTTTTTTTTCTGTTGAATTTCTTCTATTAAAAAATACTCGACAGAGCGATTAAAAATCTTGAAGTCGTACTTCGGTATCACTTCCTCAAGAACTCTTTTTCTATCGAATATAAGTGACAACGCCTGATTCCTGAACCTCTCCAACAACAGGGAGAACATCCCCAAAGTTTGAAAGTCGATGACTTCATTGATTTCTTCCTCCTTCTCTCTAAACTCGGAACACCAGTTCCGGAACATTTCGCTCGACTTGTTCCTCTGCATCGTGTCCTCGGGGCAAGCCTTCGTCTCCTTGTAAAATGACTCGATGACACCAAAACGCTTGCAATACAACTGCACTGCGTTTGTATTCAAGATCAATAGCTCTGTCAATTTTTTCTTGTAATTCTGAACGGGCAGGCTGGCTTTTACCACATTCGACAGTCGCTGAGCGTCACTCGATCGCGATTTCAGCGCTCCCCAGTCGATCGACATAGATCTGTTCGTTGAATCATTAAAAAATCACAGAAAAACCCATTCGATTTGCAACAGGAAATCCTCGACATGATTTTTGCATATTTCTTTCCCTGTTTTCTTCTCTTGACTCACAATCAGTTGAGTTTTTGAGGAATATTTCCGAATCTAAGGGAGATAGCGAAATTTTCGTCACTACATTTGTTGTAGCACTTAATCGGCTCTACAAAAAAGGTTATAACAACAATTTTGTTCTCTCCCTTAGTTTCCGAGATATTCATTGAAAACTGGTCAATAGTCAAAATCGACTTGTACCGTTTTACCATTTCGCTACTGAAATAAAAACACTTGGAAAATTTGAGCAGAGGGATTTATAATGAGAAAATATTAATAGAATAAGTTGCATAAAAAACTAGAAATTCCATTGATTTTTTCTATAGAATATTTTCTGTGAAACAAAAAAACGCGTCGACATGCCGTGAAATTTTTCAATAAAATTCGTCAAAAACTGGCAGAAAATTCAAGAGAAATTGAATAAAATTTTCCAGTGAATTCGTTAGGTTTTTGTATGATTTTTTTTCGAATCAAGACGTAATTGTAGTGATAATACCTCACGGAACTCTCGAAACGTGCGACGGTCGCATGAGACTCCAGAATTTCCCTCAGACACCCCTCCCAATGGTTTTGCAATCTACTTATTATAAAATGGAATATTTTGACGCTGGGATCCACTGTGACGTCGCCGTCGTCATTGGATAAGATCACATCAATAGAGATGTGTAGAGACTGAAAAAATGGGTAAATAATGCGGATGCCACTTCTGAAGATGAAAAGGATGAATGAGATTGTGAATAATACTTGAACTGTTTTATCGTCCCCATTTGCAACGTTGAGTTCTTCATTATTTTTAAATTTCTCTCCATCGGGTAAGGATTTCGTGTGCTCTGTGAGCATTTTCAAAAACTCGGAATAAGTGTTTTCTAATAATTTCAGGAGCAGGAAGATACTTATGTAATCAGCCAGGCGTATGAAACTGAAGATCCGAAAAATTTAATTCTGAATTAAATTAAATTTTCTTTTATTTCAGTTCATTTACAATTTAATTAATTAATTAATTAAATAATGAACTTCATTTCATTTTATTTAATTTAGAAGTGAATTAAACTGAAAATTCAATTTAATTCTATTAGAGTTCTATTAGAATTCTGGGAATAAAGTATATTATATTTTTTTCTATCATTTTATTATAGAAACCAAATGAAAATAGAACAAAAAAAATTGGGGAATTGATGGCCAGGAATTTTCTATAAAAAAATAAAAATCTATAATTTTTTTTCAATCAAGTGTCTTTCAAAAAATTACTCCATTAATTTATTTCTGAATGAAAATAAATTTAATTCTGAATTAAATTTCATTTCATCTCATTTCAGTTCATTTAGAATTAAATTAATGAATTAATGAATTAATGAACTTCATTTTATTTTATTTCAATAGAACTCCGATAGATTTGATAGAGGAAGCTTCAGGATTTTCTATTAAACTTCATCATACGCGTCGTATTGTTTGGATAATTATCCTCTACCGTGATAACTGAGCGATTTTATTCCTCTTCCTCGCCTCGTCAATGAAGCTTACTTTAGAATAACCCCTCCCCGGTGTGTCGAACCTCCTATTAGACTCATGAGCTTCATTATTTAGATATCCACCGTTTGCTATCGAATTCACGCAAGCATCCACCACACTCTCCACTGATTTTCCTCTCAGGATTTTCCATTCCGTCTTCATCTCCTCGATTTTTGCAAACTGAATGAGATCAAATGAATTTTTGAGAAATTAAAAACGATTTTAAATAGCCACGCAAAAAAAATCGTTGAAAAATCTGACGAATTCGATCGGATTTCTATTGAAAAAATCTGTTAGCTTTTGATCGATTCTAGTTTTTCTCAATAAAAAACGCCCGAAAGAAACTTTAAAAAAATCAATAGAATTCAATTTCTGTAGATAATTTATTCTATTAAAACTTTTTTATGGAAATTCCTCGAAATGAATTTTCCAAATTTTTTTTACTCAATTTTTCTTCTTTTCAGTAAAAAAATCAAACAAAAAAGCTTGGAAAATTAGAGCCGAGGAATTTCAATAGAAAATTTCAATAGAAAAATCGAATTCTATCGATATCTTCTATAGAATATTTTCCACTAAACACTTCTAAAACCAATAACCAAAAAACTAACAAAAATTTCAATACAATTTTCTACCGAATTCGCTCGGTTTTTTCCAAAAAATGTTCGTACATGACATGAATTGTTGACAAAAAACAACAAGAAACCTGCATTTCAACAAATTTGAAGACAGACACGTCCCCACCCCCTGAAATATTCATAAAATTGGCCTCTGCAAAATCCCACTGCACCCCCGTGACCCTCAGAAGGGCCCCACCGAGGTCGTCATCGCAGAGAAACAAATTCTCCTCAATAAACCTCATCGCCCTCGACATTCTCCCTGTTTTTATCGCTTTACTCCACACGTAGAATGCCTTCCACACTCGATACAGACGGAATAATCTCAACTCCACGAGTCCAAGATATTTTTTATATTCTGTACTCCACATCGATAACGGCGTGAATACCATCTCGTCGGGGGTATACAGCGTTACACCGTTAGCACTCACAGTCATGTAGCATTGATTGACATCATTATACGAGACGAGCCTGCATCGGGGTAATTAAATCCAAATCAAACGGATCGATAATACAATGAGGACGACAGAAATAGCTGAGACTTTTTTAAATTGAATCATCACTGGATAAAGAAATTTCATTTTAAAGATTAAAAAAAAAACAATTAATGCTGCAATTTTTTTTTTCAATTAATTTCAAGAAATTGTAATGTAATTCCAACAGAATTTTCATGACAATAAATCTAAGAAAATGAATTAAACAGAAAAATTAACGTCCAATACTATTAAATCATGATGATGAATACCATTAAATCACGATTTTTAATAAAAATCATCTCAAAATATGAACTTTTCATTGAATTAAAATGACATATAATAAGATAAAATGAATAAAAAATAATTGATAATAATAATGATAATAATTATATTTTAAGAGGATCTTCTATATCGGCTTCTTCTGAATCGGCCAAAAACTAATAGAACAGTTCAATAGAAATTCAATAGAATTTTCTAACGAAACGTGAGGGCGCACATGAAAGAGCTTGCGAGACCGCCAGAGAGCGTGAAAGACATAAGAGGCACGAATAACTTTATAAAATGAGAAATAACAAACGAAAAACTCGAGTATAGAATATAGAATAGCACAAAAATATAAAGAAAAAAAAATTTTTTTTAATAAAAAATTAAAAATAAATAAAAATTTTTTTTTTTCTAATTAAAATATAAAAGTATTTTAGTCAGAATGAAAGACTTCACAAACTTGAAGGTATAGGGAGCGAAGAACTTGGAGGATCTCTTGAACGCATGCCGTATATAGACGAATCGATCGGTGCGATCTTTACTGACGAGAGCAGACACTTCCAATGGATTCAGTACACAATTTGATGGGTTCCATCCATCAACATTCATCTCCATTCTCATTAATTAAATTCACCAACTAGGATAATTAGAACTGGGTCAAATGGTCAGGGGTAAAACCAAATTATGGCGCGGGTTTCCATTCGCGATCTAATTATTTTTGCTTCTCACTTCTGATTGACGGGAAAGGAAGGCCGGGTCAGCGCAATTGTTGAGATTTTTGACGGATGGTTTTTTTAAATTAATTAGTGGTGGAAATTATTTGTTTTCGTCGGATTTTTATTTCAATCGATGCAATTGTTTTTGGAGGGGCTCTTTTGTTTGGGAGTTGCGCCAATTTAATTTGTGAAATTAATGGGGGAATTCCCATTCCCCCTCTCAAACAATTCGTGACCATGACACGAAATTTTAACTAGAATAAGATTTCCGTTTTCTCCGTCTTCTCCGTTTCGATTCATGTTCCCTCCTCACCCAATTCACACCCACGACGCAATCATAAAGCCCCCAGTGCATGTTATGTTCGCAACTTCAAGAATGAATCTTCAAATTTTAACGCAGCATAAATACTTCCACCAATCCATACCTCATTATTTCTTCACACAGCATGCATACGTCACATTATTCTCTCTCTTCCCAATTTCAATAAAAGAAAATTCAAAGTATTCTACTTTAAATTCAACGAACAAAATTTCCGTTTTCATCGAATCGATGCAGTTGTCTCACGAATTTCCTTCTCCTCAATTCGTGACCATGACATGAAATTTTGACTAGAATAAGATTTCGTTTTCACCAAATAATGACTAAATTCCTAACGATTGCAATATTGACTGGGGTATATCTTGAAATCGATGCATTCGTCTTAAGAATCCTATTCTTCGTCTTCTTCATTTCGATTCACGTTCCCTCCTCACCCAATTCACACCCACGACGCAATCATAAAGCCCCCAGTGCATGTTATGTTCGCAACTTCAAGAATGAATCTTCAAATTTTAACGCAGCGTAAATACACCAGTCCATACCCCGTTTTTTCATCACCCAGCATATACCGTAAGGAAAATGTATCGCACGCAGGCGCATGTGGTCGATTTGATGATTGGTACGGGCGGGGGTTCCTTCGAAATGGTCGATATTTTAGCTGTAGCGCCCGCTACAGTGGTGCGACGACGCTTTACCCGAGGTCCAGTTTGCTTTTACCATAAGAAAACAATAAATTATTGAAAACAAATAGACAGTGAACAGTGACAGCGGAAAGACTCTCCTCTCCAAAGAATTTCATATTTTTTTGTTAATTTTTTTGTAGTGAGGTAAATAAATCACCAGCACCACCACTTACTATCGAGCCTCTCAGGATACTCGTGCGCGTGTCGTATTCCCCGAGGCAATAATCCACACTTCGAGGTAATTATTGTAGTGACACTGGCAAATGTCATCTCAGTGCATTTAATTGTTCATTGAATATCTAAAATTGTGAAAAATGTCTCGTGGAATCGCCGACGAGCGCGCTCTCGAGCCCATACGTCACGCTCGGCATCGAACGTCATAAACCTGGAGAACTCGAATGAATGGGGACAATTTGCTCGGATTTTTTTCACTCAGGCCCCGACGAAGGCCCCGAGAAAACGGATATTCGTCTCGATCAGTTGTGAAAGGGCCTCCGGGAATTGGAGGATTATTTGGCTCTTTAATTCATAAGTTGTCAGACTGTTTGAGGTTCAGGCCCTGCCTTCCCTTATCGATTTTCCCATTCGTCCAACTGGCAATACATCGTCGTTCACTCAAGGTTCTCCACTTTCCTGCACCTATGGGCACAAGTATAACCGATTTATTCTATTTTTTTTTCGCTCACGCAACTCGGGTTTAGCTATCATTCCCCGCAGCATTGGCGCGATAACTCGGGCCTTTCGGGCGGTGAGCTTCCGCTGGCCTACGGGGAACTGGATAACTCGGGATCGGAAAGTAGTTCACCGTTATCACCTCCATTTCCTCTTGACACTGTTTCAACGCGGGTTTTCGGAAAAATCGGCGATCGCGAGGGGGCGATTTGGTGGACTTGACCTTCTGGGATTATTCGGGGGCGGGGGCTCTTGATTGGGGGATTAATTAATTTGATTGGGACTGGGGGGGCAGAGCAACATGTTGGCGAAGGGGAATCGGTGTGGGTCAGGGAGACTTGGACGATCGAAAGTTTAGGGGAGAAATTTACGGAGAGTGGAATTCTACTGGAATTCTAGTGGAAATTCCGCAGTTTGGCCCGACACCTTTTTCGAGGACAAGTTTTCATCGAAAGCGTTTTTTTCCAATTTTTTGTTTTATCGTGACGCTTGTGGAATTTAATGAAAAAATGTCGTGTTTTCTGGGAGGAATTCTGTAGAATTTCTGAGGGGATTTGGTTAAATTAAAAAATTATAATTCTATTGGTTCTTTTACGCAAATTCTTTTTTGAGAGAATGGATATATTTTCCAGCCTAAATTTCCAAAGTTTCGATCTGTTTCTTGTTATAAAAATCAAGTAAAAAAATGAAAAATTCATGCCCAAAATTTTTTTATTTAAAAAATCTCAAGGGGATGAATTTTGTGAAATAAAAATCAACTTTATTTGACGATATTCAATTAAATACCCGTTAAAAATGTAATCCAACTGCATAATTTTGTATAGAAGTTGCAAATAATTTTCTGAAATGAAATCCCAATAGAATTTAAATAAACCACTACTGGAATATTTCTGGAGCTGCAGTAGAAATTCAATAAAATAAAAAAAATAATCCGAGGCATTTCTAGAGGAAAAATATCACCAATGTAAAATATTAAAAAAATTTTATTGAACATTTCTATGAAAAAACGCGTAATAAAGTCAGCGTAATCGAATAGAATTTTTAGTAGAATTCCAGTAGAAGCAAATGAAATTTCTTTGCGCGTAATGCTTTTCGCGGAATTTCATTGGAAATTGGAGAAGAAAAGAACACAATTTTCCCTTTACTTTAAACATTCTGCCTGACACTCTCGCGTACTTCCTCGCCAAGGTCGCAGTTCTCCTCGCGATTGAATTACTTTCTGATACTTTTTCCTAGTCTCTTTCTCCGTGCAAAAAATACTTCTGACGGAGAATGTGTTGCACGAAAGAGATGTTTTGCCGCCCGAGGTCAATTTAGCCGAGGGAGTCGAAAAAGTTTGAGCCGAAACTTGATAATATCTGTGGAAATGATTGTTTCGTATGAAGTTGAGACGATTTCGTTGGAAATGGGTTTGTTCTGCTGAGAATTGGGTGGGGGTTGCGGTGTAGAGACGAATTTCATCAAGTGGAGTGCATTCTCTCATGCAAAAAGTGAAAATTTTACCGGAGGAATAATTTACGAGCAGATCTGTTAATAATTTCAGGGGCATTTTAGAGAGGAAAATTGCTTATGAAATAGCGTTGTAAAAAATTGGGGTAAAAATGCAATTAGTCTAGTGAAAATTACGGTATTTTGAAGAAAAATTTCGCAGAATGTGAATTTCCGTCGATTTTTCAAGAACTTTTACCAAAAATCCAGCAGAAAATGGAGTAATTGTAGTGAAAATTTCAATATTTTATTCCCATTCAAAATATTTGTCGAATAACAAACATTTGTTGACAAGTAGTCCCATTATTAATTCAAAGGCTCAGTAGAATCAACCGATTTCGCTGGAAATAGGTTTGTTCTACTGAGAATTGCGTGTGGGTTTCGGTTTAGAGACGAATTTCATCAAGTGGAGTGCATTCTCTCATGCAAAAAGTGTAAATTTCACTGGAGAAATATTTCACGAAGTTCAATTTTAATTTGAGATGAATTACAAAGTGAAAAATCCCTCAATAAATACCTTTGATCAAAATGGGGTAATTAAGCAATAACTCCCATGAATTACAATATTTAAAAAAAATCACAGGAGAATGTGAATTCGCTCGCTGTTCCAAGAATTGTCAATTGTTAATTGTCTCAATTAAAAAAGGGAACAAAACCATTCTTTGAAGAATACCCCCACTACTCGTTCGAAGGGTGTCAATTCCCAAAAAGCCTTGGCATCCCCTGTCAAACCGAACAATTCCCCTCTCGACATTCGCGATCCCAGAGTTTACTCAAGTGGTTTCATTTCTTTGATTAATACCCACGTCGACAATGCTAAATGCCCTAGCAGGTGACCACGTCAATTCCGAAGGACAGAGTAGTGAGTAGTGCCAGGCGATAAGAAAAACTCATTACAAACAACTGGAGTACGAATGGAAGGAGGTGAATATTCACAAGTGTCTCTTTCCTCCCGGGGATTGCGTATTGAATCATTCCAAGAGTTCCCTCCATTAAATTCCCCCAAAGTTCAGGGAAGAATCGCCTTCATTTCGTTCGATCGCCCCCCACTTTTGTCGAATTATTCGTAATAATAGTCTCCCGATAACTCAACGCGTAACTTCCGCTGGCGTCTGGTGTATGTGCATGAAAATAATGAAAACGTGGTTTGAAAGAAAGCCGTCCGATTCTAATGACAGATCGAGGGATTCACGTCTCAATCTCCGTACGCAAATGGCACGAATGATTTCCATCGTTGAGATAACACCCTCGGTATCAAAACACTCCAATGGGAATAAACCTGCTCGATATTTCACGCACATCAATAATCAATATTGCTTCATATTGAATTAACAGGGTGACCTTGTTTGATATTATTCACAGATGGCGGGGCAGGATCCAAAGTGGCAAAAAGATGCTGCTGACCAGAATTTTGATTATATGTTTAAACTGCTGATTATTGGCAACTCGTCAGTGGGCAAAACATCGTTCCTCTTTCGCTACGCCGACGACTCGTTCACGTCGGCATTTGTTTCAACTGTTGGTATTGACTTCAAAGTCAAAACTGTGTTCAGGCACGATAAGAGAGTTAAACTCCAAATATGGGTCAGTGAGATTATTTCTTGGGCTTTTTTTCTCGGACATTTGGGGGGGAAATTCACCTCTGAGGTTCGGGGAATTGATTTCTTTTATGAGTTATTTTATTTCTATCCTGGGAATGGGAATTGTTTTCTTTTACAATTGTACTTTCGGGAGTTATTTTATGAGTTTTGTGGTTTTTTATTCAATTGGATTTTACTCAATTAAATTCGAGTTTTGATTGCCGTTCTAGGATTTATCTTTAAGAGGCATTTTCTTCTAAAAATGGCAATATTTTGTGAAATTTGTACGCAAAGTATTTGATCAGGTAGACATTTCGGAAGGCAGAAGTAATTTTCAATGAAAAAGTAAAAAAATCAGTAAATTTTTATGACAGTCCCTCTGAAATGTCAAAGAATTTCGTCATTGAAAATTCAAAATTTCACGGAAAAATTAATTCACTTCTGAGTTTTGCAGAATTCCTTTCATTTCTTTACCATTTTCTTTTGCAAGAGTGAATTCTTTAATTTTACATCGATTCATGTACGAGAAAATTAAAAAATTGCATTTGAATTTGATAAAAAAATTCTGCATACTCTTTACTGAAAAAAAAAACATGGATAATGATTGTTCTTCTATTCCATTCATAAACTTCAGATAAAATAGTCTAAGTCTGTCGATTTTTTTCCATCAAATGTCTGAAATAAAAATAATGCAATGTCCTGTATTGAATGTAACTATTATAAATACGATTTTATTCACAGGACACAGCCGGTCAAGAGCGATATAGAACTATAACGACAGCCTATTACCGCGGGGCAATGGGCTTTATTCTAATGTACGACATCACCAATGAGGAATCATTCAACTCAGTTCAAGATTGGATAACGCAGATTAAAACGTATTCATGGGATAATGCTCAAGTTATTCTCGTTGGTAATAAATGTGACATGGAGGACGAACGGGTCATAAGTTTTGAACGGGGTAAACAGTTGGCAGAGCAGCTGAATGTACAGTTCTTCGAGACATCGGCGAAAGAGAACATCAATGTCAAGGTATAAATTTTATCTTCTGTTTCCTATTTTCTATTCAATGTCTCCGAATTTATGCGACGCGGAGGCATTCTTTTTTAGAGGAAATGTTTCCTATTGAATGGTTTTTGTAACTAGATATTTTCATCAGAAGATTTTTATTAGATTACGATATTTTGGGTGAGAATAACAGTATTTTCGAGGAATTTTCTTTTTTAATATTTTAATTTGCACTAAATTTATTGCATTTAGAAATGTAATTTGCCTATTATTTGTTTTTGCATATTTCAATTTTGTTTTTTATAAAAATAGCGTCAACAACTATCGAGTTTTCAAGTGTTGTTTGAATAACTTGTCGACGGAAATGAGAATTGTGTAGAAAAAAAAAATTTCCTGCTAAATTTTTTCTTCATCAAACATAATATGCAACTAACAATATTTTTTGGAATTTTCGTCTTAAACATTCTAATTTTCACCAAACTTATTCCATTTTTTCCTGAAGTTTTGGTAAAAATAATTTTTTTAGATGAATTTCAATTAAAATTCAACTGTCATTTGGCCTTCATTTTTACTACATTTGTCAATTTTTTTTTCATAAAAAATAATACAAAAAATTTTCATTAGACTGCGATATTTCGGATGCAAATAATAATATTTCTCGGAATTCTCATCTTAAACATTTTAATTTTCACCAAACTTATTCCATTTGTTCCTGAAGTTTTGGTAAACACAATTTTTTTAGATGAATTTCAATTAAAATTCAGCAGTAATTTGTTCATAATTTTTACTACATTTGTCAATTGTTTTTTCATAAAAAATAATACAAAAAATTTTGATTAGACCGCGATATTTCGGATGCAAATAATAATATTTCTCGGAATTCTCATCTAAAAAATTCTAATTTTCACCAAACTTATTCCATTTTTTACTGAAGTTTTGGTAATCACAATTTTCTCAGATGAATTTCAATTAAAATTCAACAGTAATTCATCTCCAATTCCTTCTGCACCTTTCAATTTTCTTTTTCCTAAGAAAAATCACCACCATCAATCCTCTAATTTTCAGGCTGTGTTCGAGCAACTCGTGGACATAATCTGCGACAAAATGAGTGAATCCCTAGATAACGATCCAACCCTGATGGCCGGTGGTGCAGGGCAGGCCAAGGGCCAGAAATTGACCGATCAGCCGGCAAACCCCGCCTCAACTAACTGTAATTGCTAAAAATGTTCCAAAAAAGTAAATGCATATATCCGTGCATTATTAGATGTGAAAAAAAAATGTTTAAAGAGGGGAGGAGAGGGGGGAAAAAATGAAGTGACACGCAAGCGATCACAGAGTATAGATCGTAGCGTATGCATGTTTTTGCATTATGTTCTTTCGTTGACACGTTCAACATTTCCATTAGAAAAATTTCATAATTTCGCATCGAATTTCGTTCAACCACTGAAATTACATTTTGTAACGCTTATTTCTCTGTTACTATAACTTTCTTTTTGTAAGAAACAACATCACGTTGACGAGTGCATCACGCATTAGAACAAATTGAATAATTGTACGGGCATATCTTGTTTTAAATGATTAATCTAGCGAAAAAAAAAAATACCGCGAAACGGTGGAGCAAGTTTTATTGCGGACGGCTGACCAGACTCTTCATTTCTACTTATCATACCCATAATTTCCCTGATTTCCCCACGTCAATATAATTTAATCGACACTATCGTCTGAATGGCAATGTTTCGGGAGCGACGAAGACCTGTAAAGAGCCCAAAGATGTCAATTAACCCAATAATTAAAGATTAAAAGCCTAAAAAATCGTCGGAAATTGCAGTACAACTTGAGCCACCGGAATAATCTCCACCTAGACCCAAAAAATTGCCCTCTGTATATATATATAATTACAACTATTATTATGATTAATTGTGTAACGAGGTGTACTGTACGCGTTAATCATCTGTGTGAATTTTATGGGACCGATTCTAGTGGCAAAATCAGAAATGATTAGATACCAAGAGAAAAAAATTTAATTGGAGCATAATAAAGTGAATAAAACAAAATGCTATGAAATTTCTGCATCACCATTATTACAGGAATACCTATGATTATAGTATAAATACACTGTATGTTGATAACCCGATTGAACATAAAGAATCCATTTTCGATTATGAGTAATTATCTGCAGAGAGCACACACCTGATGTAAACATGAATAATATTTCACGAGGGGATTGAGGAAAATAATTTTATCCGTTGTTTCATCGCGTGGGGGAGAACAGAAAATTTAATAAAAGAACTTATGAATCTCCGTGAGAAATTCCAGATAAATTCGCTGAATGAATTCTGATTTTTTCCGTAAATTCAGTAGCGAAGTGGTAAAACGGTTCAAATCAATTTTGACTATTGGTCAGGTTTCAATGAATATCTCGGAATCTAAGGGAGCGAGCAAAATTTTTGTTACAACCTTTTTTGTAGAGCCGATTGAGAGCTACAGAAAATGTGGTTACAAAAATTTCGCTATCTCCCTTAGATTCGGAAATATTCCTCGAAAACTCAACTGGGAGATGAGTCGAGTTAAACGGGTTTACTACTTCGCTTCTGAATTATTCTGTTGAAAAATTTTCTGGAAAAATCCTGGGGGAAAAATTTTCAGTAAAATGACGACCGAATGAGCTGTGAATGAAAATCAACGGCTGTTGAATTTTCCGCGGAATTTCAGAGAGAACTGGGTTTTGTTATTAAATTTATTCGTGCGTCAGTAGTGGGAGAAAGAGGAAGCGACATTATATTCAAATGAATTATTATTGAATGATTAAGGGAGGGGGATTATCGAGGGTGAGTTTGTTGGTAGGACACGTGTATGTATGTATTGTATCGTATGTAACTATCATGCCTAATGTTATTGAAAGACAAAACAATAATGTATTACGAGAAATAAAAAGGAAATAATTTACTTCAATATTAATTATGTTCGTTCCCAATATTTCGGACGAAGCTGCGATTGTGTCCGCGGGGATCAGTTGCAGACGCTGCTCGGTGTAGTGAGAGAGGATGAGGAGAGAATGAGGAACAATGCGATGTTCATATTTTAATGATCGGATGAGATCGGCGAACCGAAAGCAATCGGGATTACAGCGGATCGAAGGGGTATCCAATTGTGTTAAATCGAGGTTTACAACGCGTACGAGCATATGATACAATGCACACGTTATTTTCCACCAATTATCAAGAGCGAAAAATCAGCGATTGAATAATTAAACTAATTGCCTGTTTATTGGAGGCGAAATGGACCGAAAAATTGATAAAAAGGCTGTGGACGTTCTATTGAAAATTATGATACTTTGACGTGCGTTTTTCGATATAATTTGGTAGAAAAACGTCGGGGGATTTTGATTTTTCGTGATGAAATGCAAGAGAACAAAATTGAAAAATTAATGTCCAAGAATTCTTATAGGGAAAATCAGAATAGGATGAGGGAAAATATCAATATTAATTAATATTGATCAAGATCTATTGATTTTTTGTCTAAATACGCATAATTTTCAACAGAGTTTACAAAAAAAAATCCTAGCAGAACTTCAATAGAAGTTTTTCAATAATTTCAGCGTCATCCCTAATTACTTGATCACTAAAATGAAAAATAAATTTCCCTCTAGGTCTGCACGGAAAATCACCAACGAAAAATTTATGATGAAATAATTAAATTTTTCTACGGAAATTCTAGGGCATAAATTTCGTTAGTTTTTCCGCAGCAAAAAGTCGAGTGATAATAAAATCCAAGAAAAAGAATTAAAACTTCATGCCCAAGAATTCTTGTAGAAATAATACCCACAAAATGAGTTTCCTATTCTAAAAAGAACATACGCCGTAAGTTGTAGCGTAACGCTCATTCCTCGAATTTCATTGGTCGAACCTTCGGATCCGCCTGCACGTGTTCGACTTCAGTCGGCTTTCGGTTTTCGTGTCACGATTTGTCTTTAACAAGCGCGCGATCGTTCTTGTGGAAAAAGTGAAAACTGAAAATTTTTTTTTTCACCGGGGGCCAAAGTGTCAGATCTTGGATTTTTTCAGAGGGAAAGTCGGTCAAAGGGTCACGAGGGCCAAAATGTCAGATCTTGGACATTTCCAGGGGGAAAGTCGACTTTCGCCAAAATCGAATTTTTTAACCGGGTGAACGTTGATTCCAACTATTTAAGCGACGGACTATTCAGAACTCTCAAAATTCTTCCATCTTTCCCACAAAAAGCGAACAGAATTTTTTAATAAAATTCTAGTAAAACTCTAACAGACTTCATTCAAGGTAAGAGTAATAAAGCATTCCCGCATCATTATTTATTTTAAAAAATGTATTCATTAAGAAACATTATTAAATTATTAATAAATATTATGATTTAAAATATTATTATTCTTATTAATTTTTAATATTATTATTTAATAATAATTATTAATAAATATTAATAATTACTATTACATTATTAATTATTGTTATTAATGATGGTCATTATCTATTTAAAAAAATTAATCATTTCCCAGGATTGAATCAGCTAAAAGTCGTCAAGTTTCTTCTCCGAGAAAGAGCTATTAAATTTTTCTCCCAAAGAATTCCACAAGTGTACGCTGCCTGCGTCTCCAACGACTCCCCCAAAAGACTCTTCTATCGACCGATTAAACTAATAGCCCCGCAATCCCCGATGAATGATGTAGAAGCTCTCGCTAAAGAAAGTACAAAATTGCGGTGAATGAGAGGAAAAAAAGTGGTGATCCGTGCGGCTCCCGTCAAAGGTCCCAAGATTAATCATCCCTTCGCGGTTCAGGGGACTTTCCGCTCTCCTCCCATTACCCTTATTACCCAAGTCTTCGATAATTCATCCCCATCCCCCCACTCAACAATAAAATCCACCACTGTATTTCATAGATTCACTTGGCAGTGAATCCAAGATTCCTCCCTTTTGCCTCCTTTTGTCATGATTAACAGTTGCCGCTGTTAGCCAAAAAGTCGTTGCCATGGAGTTCACATGCACCCCCGGTACCGCCGCCTTTCGACATTGGCAACAACACACTTTGACGCATTAGTCGGATGTTAACACAGAGAGGCATTGAACACCCAAATTACTGATGATCCGGGAGCACACGCGCGCGACAAAAAAATTGTATTAGTGTTTGGCCGATTCTATTGAACAATTCCGCATTCAACCCATTTTTTTATAAAAATATTCTAATAGAAACTATTTTATCGAAGGAATCAATAAAATTTCTTCTTTCTATACAACTTTTTTTATTAGAGATTTTTTACAGGAAGTCCTCGACATGAAGTTTCCAAGTTTTTTCCGTTCTATTTTTCTTCTATTTTTATTTTAAAAATACAACAAAAAACGTTGAAAATGTGATCCTAGGAATTTTTATAAAATATTTTTCAACTGAACATTTCTAATGAAAAAACGGCAGATTTTTTCAATAGAATCGACCGCATTTTCTAGCAAAATCACTAGGTTTTCCTAGGATTTTATGGAATATTATTATTTAAAAAATAATAATATTGTATAAAATATATAAAATTGTTAAAATGTCGTTAGACACCCATGAAAAAGGAAATTCGTTCCACCATTAATTACAAAGTAGCCACAATTTCCGGAACAAAACTGCACATTATTTATTTACCGATCCCTGTCCATGAATCATACAAGTTAATGAACAAAGGTATTGGTGAGTGGAAGGTCGGGTTGGTGGGCACGTGGCCCACTGTAGGTGTGCGAGTGGGAGACGAAAGTTCAACGCGTGCGCAAGCAAATGTTACCGAAAATAAAATTGTTGAATTTATATTAGTTCCCGTTGAATTTCGTTTATTTGTTGTTCCTCGATGACAAATAGAATATTGCGTGAAGAAAATTACGAGACATTAAATTATTTATAATTTACGTTAAAATGTTGAAATGTGTGAAATGTTAAATTGTTAAATTATCAAAATATTAAAATATTAAAATGTTAAAATGTTAACATCTTAAGACTTAACAATGTCAAAGTCTCAAATCCGTAAAAACGCTCTATAATTAACACAAAACCCCTCGAGATAATGAAAATTAATTATAAAAAAATAATAATTGACCATTGAGAAGTGAAGGGTGAAGCCCAGAGAACGCTGACATGCACGAAAAATAAAGAGCATCGGTGAAATATACTTGAGGAGACAGATGGGCTGATAGCTGTTGTTTCAAGTAAGCTTGGCAGTAGAACAGAGTCAGTAGTGCGCGGAATCCCGTACTGGGAGGACCGTTCTTCGTTATTGTCACTGAGTATTCAGCACGAGTCAACACTCCGGTAGTTGATTGTTATTATCAAAGGTACAAACGACATTGAAACAAATGTACAGCAATTTTTTGACACTAGAATTGAAATGTTTCGACATTTTTGTGAAGTAGATTTTTTTTTAATTTCACCCACTTGTTCACTAGATTCACTCAACTCAGTATCCTTTTTTCTGTTGATTCTCAGTTATTTACCAGTGTATTGCCAGTGGTCATGTTGTCCCTATATATAGCGAAAGTATAATTAAATCCTCTTAGAGTATTGCCAAGTGAATGCTCGAGGCTTTTCTCCTTATGTTGAATGCAGCCCAAGTCTCATTAAAACTCGAGATAATTATTCGACTGTGAACAAAAACGGCTAATTATTTTCTCGGTTATCGGGTGATTTTAACAAAGCTTGAATTATCAATCGTGGAATATTGATTGGACCTGGTGGCAATGGGGGAATCGTTGAGCAAACACGATTAATTTCATCCGTATCAGGAGCACTTCGATCTAGTGTTATTCGAGGATAAATTGGATGCGAATTTTTCCGATGAACGAATTACCATCGAACTTCAATTTCCATGTCCACTCCATAATTATCATTAAATTTGTCGATTCTCTCATCAGGTATATTCAAATGTCCGGGGATTGTCAGCATGTTTGTGCCGAAATTATGTAATGACAATGGACAACTTTGGGAATGATTTGGGGAAAAAACATTGATGAATACGAGTGGGAGATCAAGTGTTAGTTTATTTTCGGAGCATCGGGCTTAACACTGTTGCCAGTACTTTGACTTGTTTGTACCCCTGTGAAAATTTCATCCACTTTAGAGGACAAAATTCAATATTTTTCACGGACAAGATGAAACGTCAGTCGGAGTGTCTAATCGTCTTAATGACTTTGTAATTTCATTTTCGGGAAGTTCTCGACTGTGGACACTGTATAAATAGGGCGGCAATGAATTGAGGTCAAAGATTTACAGTACAGCGTGATGTGGATAATTCAGAGTTGAATTTGCCGGGTATGCAACATGTTAGCTCTGAAAATATCTGGTCGGACGCTAATGTGAAGTACCTGTTCGAGGGAATTTCTGGAAAAATATTGGGCGCGTGAAGAAATTTCATTGAATAACATCCGGAGAAATGAGGGATTTGAATCAGATTATTTTTAATCTAGATTGGTCTATTCAATTCAACAATATGTTGTAGTTATGAAAAATAAATTTAGGGAAGCCCTGTTAATTTTTTTTATCGGATGAATGATTTTATCCGCTGGAAAAAAAACGTTATCTCGGGAAAATGAACGAATGAATCTCCGATACATTTTACTTATTCAAGGGAATATCATTTCAAAAATGAGGGAATTACGTATTTATGTTATGGCCCATCTCCATTGATGGTAAATATCCGAGAATATGAAGCGATGTTGAGGAAAATAAAAGCAATATTTTAAATAACATTCAAATGCAACAGATTTTTTCTCGTTTTTCTGTTCAATTCAACAATATTTTAATTGGGAATTAATAGGATGTTGTAGTCAGATAAAATAAATGAATAATTAATTTTAAAAAAGGTTACGCAAGGTTATCTTTCCATTGAATTTTTTCTAATTTTTAAATTCGCGATTGACTTGATTCCCTTAAAAAAATCATTATTCATCGAACAACAAAATTAATGTTCCAGGTAATGAACAATGTAGGCCTACGCTAGTTATTCACAATGACCCATAAACCAATTAAAGTGTAATTAAACTGAAAACAATCACGGTTGCTGAAGCGACAATGTCAATCAAGTGGTACGTAAGTGAATTGGCCAAAATATTGAAAACAATTTGCATGAAACACCGTTCGTTACCCAAAATTATCAACGATGAATTGCGGCCTAAGCGTGATGTTTGCACACCCCAAATATACCAAAAGGTGTTTGATAAATCCAACGATTTTGCACGGGGATGTACGTTATCTATCCGGCGGAGGAGCTTCTTAGAATCTACGAGAGTCCAATTCGTTCACTGAATTATTCGCCGATAATTCCGAAAAATCGAATCAACGGTGAAGCATCGAGTGCTTCGACAAGAGCAACATCACTCGTTAATTGTTGTTCAAGTGATAATGCAAACATTGATTTAAACTCGTTGAATAGTTGTAAAAATAGCCGGCGATCCAAGAGTGTTAAGAATTCAAGATTTTTTGTATTCGAGTCAAAACGTGGGAGGTGTAGGGAGAAGGAGAACTCAAGGAACTATCCAATTATGCAAAACAATCGGAGTAACGGGGAGGAGGGCTGCAACCCTCTCAAGGAATTGACACATGCCAACCTCAATGAATCTCTCAAGCAGCACAATGGGAACGCTCTCAAACTTGTACAAACTGGTGAGTTCTGAGGACTATTGTCATTTTACTTGTGTTATTTTCAGCTGCATGTACCACATAATCATCTAGAAATCCAGGATATTAAAATAGTTTCCAGAGTTGAGGCTTTGTGTGGGAAAATGTTTAATGAGAAAGAGAGAAAAGAATTATGGAAAATTGGATTTTTAATGGAATTTTTAATAGAATTTCAATAGAATTATTCGCGAATTGTAATCGACATTCAATAAAATTCCTGTTGAAGATTTTCAAGATTTTTGGGTGAAATTTTGTCACTGAGAATTCAATATTCCGTGAAAATTGATAATTTTAGTTCAATTATTTCATGAAAGTGGAGTGAAATCAGGAAAATTAAGTTGTCAATAAAAAATAGGGAATTCTGAGAAGAAATTGTCATTTTATTTGTGATATTTTCAGCTGGATGTGCCACATAATCACCTAGAAATCCAGGATATTAAAATAGTTTCCAGAGTTGAGGCTTTGTGTGGAAGAATGTTTAATGAGAAAGAGAGAAAAGAATTATGGAAAATTGGATTTTTAATGGAATTTTTAATAGAATTTCAATAGAATTTCAATAGAATTATTCGCGAGTTGTTATCGACATTCAATAAAATTCCTGTTGAAGATTTTCAGGATTTTTGGGTGATATTTTGTCACTGAGAATTCAATATTCTGTGAAAATTGGTAATTTTAGTTCAATTATTTCATGAAAGTGAAGTGAAATCAGGCGAATTAAGTTGTCAATAAAAAAATGGGGAATTCTGAGGAGAAATTGTCATTTTATTTGTGATATTTTCAGCTGGATGTAACAAAAATCCAGGATATTAAAATAGTTTCCAGAGTTGAGACCTTTCGTGTGAAAATTTTTAGTAGAGACAGAAAAGAATCATCGAAAATTGTATTTTCAATGGGATTTTTAATAGAATTTCAAAGCATTTCTGCGCAAGTTCTAATGAAAATTCAATAAAATAGCCGTTGAAGATTTTTGGCTAAAATATTCCGTGTGCAATTGAAATTTTAAAGAATTTCGTAACTGAGAATTCAAAAATCTCTGGAAGTATCAACAGAATACTTTCTGCAAAGAAGTATAAAAAATTATAGATAAATTTCCCTCAAGGATTTTCTACAAAAAAACTCAACCAGAATCCTCTACTCAATCAGAACTAATTTAATTCAAACTGATCTAATTTTCTATTTAACCACGTTGAACTTTCATAGATTAATTCGAGTACAAATTGAATACAACTCCAACTAAACTCCCCAAAAACGCACCCCGAAAATGCAAAAATACCCGCCAAAACCCCCCAAAAAGCCAGCCAAAATTTTAACCTGAATTTCTCCGAGAAACCGTCACCCTTATAAACAAAAGAATAAACAGAGTTGCAGGAGTGAGTAATAGCCGTGTTATTTGACACCTGCAGACACATATATAAAATATTACTTATTTAATAAAGCAAGGAGTCTGGTTGCTACGGTAACAGTGAGGTGAATAGGCAGGGTATTGATTCGCCCCACCTGAATTCAGGTCAACCCCTGACTAAACACGTTTTCTGTATGATATCCGACCCATGGAATTTGTGACTTTTTTTTTCACTCCCTCTTGTTTGTCAATACGATACTCTTTGTAGTACCATAAATATCGTGCGTAGCTTGTAAATATAGGGCGAGAGGGAATCTAGTTATGCATGTCAACTGGGGGGGAGATTTTTCCACATTGTGGGGTAAACAGGCTTCATCGGAAATGGGATGAGAGGGGGCGGAGGAGTGAGGGGAGAGAAAAAATTATGAGTTGTCGACATTATGAGTTATTGGATTGTCCTATTGATCGCCTCGTTATTTTTATTTTGCGGCTTGTTACGACGGGTGTCTTCCTGCTTCCTTAATGCGATGTGAGGACTAATGGAATTATTATCTAAGACTAAGACGAAATATGGAATTAGAATTTGGGGGTTTGAGGTGTTACGCAAGGAGAGGGACTCGTTCCAATTGTGAGGGCAGATTTGGCGTGATACGGGGAGTCATTGGGGATGGAGGATTTTTTTTATGAATGTTTCGTGACTGTGCGGAACCCTCAGGAGCACGCGGAGAACTAAAAGGGCACAGCAACCCCTGGGCAGGGCTCTCTGCTCAGGAGATAAAGCGACTCGAGTGTGGGTATTTATCGTTTTTTTAGGGGAGATGTTTCATTCTTATCTGGGGATGACCTATTCTTCTTGGTGGGAATGATCCTGTTGGACAATTAATCATCGAATTTCAAGTGAAAAATCTTGAAAGTTTCAGTGAAATTGCAATTTTTTTCAATTTTTATGGAGAATGAGATTTCTTGGGGATAAATTGCTCTCAAATTCGTAATATTAAAATTCAAATGCAGCTGTTACTTGAATTTCACAAAATGAAAAAATCTAAACCGTCAAACTTGAAATAAAAATCAATAAAATAAATGAAAATAGTAGAGTAATAAAAAAAAGCAAAATTAAATGAAAGAATTGAAAAAAAAATTAATTAAATGAAAAAATAGAAATAAAAAAGAATTAAACGAATGGAGCTTAAATAAAAGTTCAGTTGTTGAAGAAGAAATGTTAAAGTGGATTTCAACGAAAACAAAATCCACATCCAATTAATTCCCCAAGTCCATTGATAAGAATAAATCCCAGTCACGCATAACCCCCCCCCCCCCCCCCCC